AGTAGATGATGACAAACCCAGATAAGATAATGAGTGGCTCAGAGGGGCCCGTGATGGCCAGCTCCTGAGACACCAATAGTGGAAGGCCACACTGGAGGAGCCCAGTGGCCAGGCCAGTGCTGGGCTGGCCAGTGGAGACATCGGAGGCGAGGACCAATGCCCAATTGGGAAGAGGGGTGGTGCGGATGAGCGCAAGGGCATCTGGTACACCACATTTGCAAGGAGAAGGCCAAAGTGAAGGGGGAGAGGTGCATATGGCAGTAGCACTCCCTGGTGCAAGGAATCGGGCTTGGCTAGACCGCTTGCAGGATTTGAGGGAGATGGCCAGGGGAAGGAGGAAGAGGGCGGATGTCGGCATGGATGGAGATGAGGATCGGAGGAGGAGGAGGAGGAGGAGGAGGCCGGGTAATCAACAGGTGAGCAGGCACAGGTTGGCAGAGAGGGTGCAGTGGGTCACGTGCATGGTCATGTGCCCAAGGAGCGCGGCGTCCCCTGACAGGCTCATTGCATTCAGCAATTCAGACTGGGCTGCTGATCTGATCAAAAAGAGATCTACCACTGGTTTCTTCTCAAAATTAGCAGATGGGATCATTTACTGGCAGTCTAGACTTCAGCACACTGTTGCATAGTCTTTGACCAAAGCAGACTACATGGTGATTTCTGATTGTAGTTGCCAGGTGATGTGGCTGAAGAGCGTCCTTTTGGAACTCCAGTTCAAACTTGCCATCCCAGTACCTATTTGTGGTGACAATCAGTGTGCACTCTTCAGTGGCAGCAATGACTACTGAGACCACAGGATGAAACATATAGACATCTGCTATCACTACATCTGTGAGCAAGTCAAGGAAGAAGAGTTTGAACTATTCTTTATTCTGGGCAGTGAGAATCCTGCACATCTGTTCACCAAGAACCTAGGACGCGTCAAGTTTGAGAAGTTCAGGTCCCAACTAGGACTTGAGTTCAACTCATCCTGAAGAATTTGCCAATGAAGATTTTGCTTGCAAATACTATCCTGTGGTTTTTAGCATGGGGAAGTGTTGATCAATTAACATCTGCAAGATGGATGTCATGATACACATCATATGACTCCATCATGTGTCATCTAGAGTCATGCCAACTCATATCAATAGACACAAATAGCCCCCTGTATTGTATATAAGGAGGGCTCTATTACCTTGTAATCTAAGTCTCTTGACTACTCCTGCATAGTGCCCACACTAAGCTCTCACTCACACAGGTGAGCTGCTAGACGCTCTCTCCAGTACTCAACATAGAGATAACCCCTTGAGTGTGACAATCAACAAGAAATAATGTCAAAAAGAGAAGTGAATTCAAAGACTGGAGAATACAACCAAGTAGCTACAGTATTTATACCCAAATCCAGTCTGAGTCATATCTACAACTAATGAGTCATAAGGCTATGTACCACATGGAGCACTGGTCATGGGTTGTAGTAGAACCTTCTGGAGCATGTGTTGCGCAGTCTCAAATCAATAAAGATGATCTCCTGGATCCCTAGCTTGGACCGTCGGTTGCCGTGATCCATGATAAGATAACCTGCGCCAAGATAAGATAAGGTTGTTGATAATAAGATGAAAAAGTGGCCAAACTATGACATTGAGCCCCTCACCCAGACCTTGTGATGCCAGTGTTGAGTCAATTGGTAGAACTCCCATTAAATCTATCCCCATTTGGGCTCATTTCTGGTCAAGTATGCTGGCTGCTTGTATCTTGCTTCCTCAAGGCCCCTTGAGTTTAGAATGTTATTTTTCAATACACAAGGATATGTTTTTCTGCCCAAGACTCTGCAGTATATGAGAATTTAATTGCTACAAATTTCTGTAGATTTTCTTTTGTAAACTCTTCATCAGCAAATTATGTCGCAGACAATACCGCGCAGTGGAGATACAACCAGTAGCGATCACCTATAGAGACAGAGTCTCAGCGAGTGTAGAAGACACAGAGCTGACATTAGCAGTACCTATAGAGACAGAGTCTAGGTTCAAGTCATGAGTATGAGTCGTAAGAGATCATAAGAGAGTATGCATACCTCAGCGAGTGTAGAAGACACAGAGTTGAGGATATGGAGCATATAGTACTAGGTTTATATACCAGTCTGGAGCAGATATCATGATGTCATAGTGGAGTAGTGATATCATAGATGAGTAATGGATGACGCAATAATGAGGTCAGGTATGAGGTCATTGTGGAGCGAGCCAAAGTAATCTAAAGATACTACATATGATGTCATGTCTACATACTGTGATAGTCGCTAATACAAACAAGCTTCAACACTCCCACTCGACTAAACAGTCGGATCACAAAGACCCAAAGACAGCCGATGTTGTTGGAACTTCACCCATGCCAAAGACTTTGTGAGCGTGTCTGAGATCATCGCATCAGTCGGCACATGGTAAAGTTGGACATTGCCAGCTTCAACGGATTCTCGTACGAAGTGATAGCGGATGTCGATGTGCTTCGTCCTCCTATCATGAACTGGATTTACTGCCATGAAAATAGCGCCTTGGTTATCAACACAAAGAGGCGTGGATGGCAAGTCATATCCGAGCTCAGTCAACAAAGTGCGGATCCAGGCAATCTGGCGCGTAGCATCGCTCAGAGCCATGTATTCGGCCTCTGTTGAGGACAAAGCGACCGTGGGTTGGCGTCTAGAAACCCAGGTCACTGCACAACCAGCGATGAAGAAGGAATATCCCGTGGTTGAATGCCTGTCGTCTTTGTTCTCCGCCCAATCAGCATTGGAATAACCGATAAGGCCTGCGCCAGTGGAACCATCATAGCAAAGTTGGTAGTTTTTGGTGCCCTGAAGGTACCGGAGTATGTATTTTGCCATGTTCCAATGATGTTCTGACGGGTTGCTGTTGAACTTTGATAGACGGATGACTGCATAGGCAATGTCGGGGCGAGTACCAAGCATGGCGTATAGAAGGCTGCCAATCAGTTGCTGGTATCGGGTACGACGGTCTTCATCAACTTCTCCATCATGCTTCTCGAGCACGATGCCGGAAGGCAGGGGAGTACGAGCTTCTTTGCAAGAAGACATCCGGAAACGTTCTAGAACTCCTTCGATATAGGAAGCCTGATCGATCCAGATTTTACGCGCTTTGCGATCACGAACTATGTTCAGACCAAGAAAATCCTTCGCAGTACCAAGATCTGTCATTTTGAAGCGGTTCGCGAGCATTGATTTGATCCGCGCTATCTCTGGCAGATTGTTGCCCATAATGAGCATATTGTCAACATACAGCACCAAGATGATGACCGTATCTCCCATTTGTTGGCGATATGTGTAGACACCGGCGTTGGAGTATGTCCGAGCAAAACCTAGTTTGAGGAGGGCATTGTGGATTTTGATATTCCACTGACGAGACGCCTGTTTCAACCCATAGAGTGATTTACGAAGGCGTGCCACCTTTTCTTTTGGCCATGACGAGAAACCTTTGAGTAATTCCGGAAGTTCCATATAGATTTCTTCCTCCAGATCCCCGTTTAGGAATGCCGTTTTGACATCCATGGCATGAATCTCCCAATCTTCGAGAGCAGCCAGAGCCATAAGTATGCGCAAAGATTCGTAGCGCAATACTGGCGAGAAAGTCTCATCATAGTCAAACCCATGAACCTGAGTGAATCCCTTGGCAACAAGTCGTGCTTTGAAACGACCGTCATGCTTCCTGCTAAACACCCATCTGCATTTGACAGTCTTTCGACCACGTGGAAGGCTGGTCAAATCCCAAGTACAGTTTTCCTCGAGAGAGTCCAGTTCTTCGCGCATTGTGCGCTCCCACTTGAGTGCATCCGGGCTTTTTGCTATGTCCCGTACGTTTTGAGGCAAGTCATGCTCAGCTTGGGCAGCTGATAACATGGACTCAATGCTGCTAGGCCTCTGATACGTAGTTCCATCTGGCATAATGCGGGGCTTATTCCGACAAGGGCAGCGATGGGCAATCGGGCAATCGTCTATCGGGCCAGGCATTAGGGGTACTTCTCGCGATCCCGTGACAGGACCTTGTTGTGCGAGGGGTGCCGGTGGCGGTGGAAGAGCAGGAGGTGGTATGCTTGCATAAGGCGTTGCAGGCGCAGGATTATTGATAAGGTCAGGGAAGGTTTCCTCGAATGGTGTGAATGGCTCCAGTCCAGAGGACACATTGCCGGTGACTAGCTTGGACTTGGCAGGGAATACTTGCTCATCGAACTCGACGTTTGAAGAGATTTGTATCTTGCGTTGATTCGGATCCCACACTTTCCAAGCTTTTGTCTCTCGTTCGTATCCAACAAAGATGTGGTCGGGGCGTCCATGCTCCAACCCTTTCGGGCGTTTTTCAACATCCCCATAGAGAGACGCCTTGCATCCAAACACACGGAAATAAGAGACGTCTGGCTTCTTTCCAAGCCACAGTTCCGCAGGTGTTCGCCATCCCAATCGTGCCATAGGTTGTCTATTATGAACGTGGACAGATGCATCCATAGCACATTGCCAGAAGCCTTTGGATAGGCCGGCATCGAGGCGCATGCATTCCGCTTTCTCGTAGGCTGTGCGATTCCAACGTTCAGACCTCCCATTTTGCTGTGGTTTGCGTGGCGCGGACTTAGGGTGCGTAATACCACGTGCATTGAGCCAGGCTGTGAGTTCATTGGACATATATTCGCCTCCACGATCTGACCGGAAGGCCAGTACTTTTGTGCCGAGCTGACGCTCTACAAGGGCAACAAAGTTTTTAATTGCGGTAGAGGCTTGGTCCTTTGATTTAATGAACACCATCATGCCAAAGCTCGAGAAATCGTCGTAGAACGAAATTGTGTAGCGTGAACCTTCCAACGACTGAGTAGGCCAGGGGCCCATCAAATCAGTGTGGATAAGCTCGAGGGGTTTGCTAGCACGTTTCTCTGATGTAGGGTACGGATGCTTGTGCTGTTTTCCAAGCATACATCCATCGCACATGCCGCGCTGGTCTTTATTGCGTCGCAAGGGGGGAACACCTTCAACTTGTGTTGGCAAGTGAGTAAGGGTCCTCCGAGCCGCATGACCAAAACGCTTATGCCACAATTCACGATCGGTAGTTTCCAGGGAAGCGAGCGCGGTAGACTCGTGAGATGCAGACACAGATGGTGCCACAAGCTCCTCGGGGTAGTACCAGTAGCAGCGATTGCTTGCTTTAAAGGTCATCAAGACATCCCCATGCGCTTTTCCCTTGTTGAGCCAATCCTTGGTGACTAGGATTGCCTTGTTGTCACCAACCACGGTGTAGTAACCAGCCTGATCGAGCGCATACCCAGAAAGGTAACGCCCTCTTATGTGCGGGTTGTAGATGACATCCTTCAGCGTGAAGGTGTAGTCCATGCCACTACTAGTATGACCCCGCAACACAATATCTCCAACGGCTTCATTCTTGAAGCGAGCTCCCGACCCAACAATTACATAGGTGTCGATAGGTCTGATGTTGTGAAGATCAGATCGGGTGTTTGTCATATGATGCGTACAACCCGAGTCCCATAGAAAACAAACTTTGGAGTCGTCTCCCATTTCTTCAACAAAAATTCCATCATCGATGTGTTTGAGGGAGTCACTCATGAGATAGGATGAAATGTGCATTCCATTGGAGGCAGCTGCAACCGCGGGAGCGGCTACAACTTCTTTTACAGCGCTAGTACCATCACCGCTCTTCTTTTCCTTCTTCTTTTTCTTCTTCCCTTCATCCTGCTTCCCCTTGCCTTTGTCAGAAGATTGACCAGTCGGCTTGAGGTTGGAATACTTCTTGTAGCAGGATGCCGCAACGTGACCAGATTTGTTGCAATGAGTGCAGCGGGTGGCAAGGGACGGAACGGTGGAAATCTTTGAGTTCGACGTCGTGTCGAGGTTCTCGATCTTGATATTCCCTATGACGCTGTTCTTGACATCGACTGGGTTCAGAGAAGCGATAGGACGATTGGCCAGGTAAGAGGTGACGAAACCTCTGCTGGAAGCGGGCAAGGCGGCGAGCATTAGAGTTGCGAAGAGGTAGTCGGGGATCTTGATTCCTCCTTCCGAACACTGGCGACGACGAGTCTCCATTTCCATGATTTGTTTTTCAATGGTGTCACCACCATGGAAGGTGGTGGTGTTCAGAAGGCGGTACTCGACAAAAGCATCGATGGCATTTGGTTGGCCATAATCCGTCGCCATCTTTGCAAAAACCTCGTGCGCAGTGCGCTCCTGCTGACCGTCCATAAAGATTCCCTTGCGCAGATTTTGGGTGATATAAACCCGCGCAAGACCCAGTGCCTTTTCATTGGCAACGTCCCATTGATACTGGCTGCACCAGCCGTTCCAGGACGCTCCATAGAACCAGGGTTTGAGGTAGATGTGCCGTTAACCATAATATGAGTGGGTTTAACCACTCCCCAGGTGCCCTGATGCATGCAGATGCTCATGTAGTTGTCCGACCACGTATTCCAATTGGTGCCATCAAAGACACTCAGAATGGAGTTGTTGAGTTTCTCGATTCCCGAGATGGTGGGGAGATACTCGATAACGTCGGCGGTTTGGTATCAAAGAGAGGGGAATTCAATATAGGGAGGATCACCAAATAGAGATCGAAGTTCTGGCGTCCAATTCTCTTGGTGATGGAAGAACTCTTCGTTGTCGTGTTCTCCAAGATCGTATAGATCCCTCCAATCGGTGTCTTGAAGCGGAATGTAAGAAGGTCCCTGAGCCCAGCGGACAACAGGAAATAGGATAACCCCAACGGGAGGGTCGTCTGGTGATGACAGGGTGATAGAGATGAAGACTAGAGCGACGAAGTCAGCCCCAGATTCTCTGCAGACCAAGAAACAAATCCCGAGTGCCAAATCTCTGAAACGAGAACAACCAAGCATCCCCATCCCATCCATGATGCCCATATACGCGCGGGAATGATAACGAAATAAAGCGGTATAGTAAGTGCCCATATTTGTATCAAAGTAATGTAACTATATACGTCAGCGGCGGCAGTACCCGACGGTGATTACTGCCCTCACAGTCCGTCACTGGCCAAGGGACACGTGCCCAAGGCCGTCCCAAGCACCGGGTTTGGACGCCCATCTTCTCCCTTTTAAAGACATGCATACACGCAGAGCGTCATTGCATGAATCCTCGTAGTGTCACCAGCCCGCAGGGTCCCTTGTGAGGAATGCGAGCCAACCCCGAAGGATTGTTTTGCCTGGCGGAGGGATTGACCTCCAGCAGCTGTTGAGAGCTACCACACCACCTAGGCGCTTCGTGCAAGGTTCAGGAGTGGGATTGACCAAAGGACCAGTGCCTGGTGGGTATGTCTGCTGTACAATAAAAAGATGTAACGTAAAACGCGCGCGAGCAATCATGGACGGAATAGCTAACGGCGCGTCTGCCAACTAAATGACTCCCTGACGCCGCTTGCGTAACCCCTTGAGGGTGAGAGCACAAATGCGAGGACCGACATCCAGCAAGTGGGACGAGTGCACAAAGACGGCGCTCTAGAAGGGCTGAACGAGTGAAAGATACTCGCCTTAGTAAAGGGAGTAGTTCGATGTTTCTTGATTTGCCACTAGTGGTTCAGGCGGGGCCCATAACCTGTCGCAGACAATACCGCGCAGTGGAGATACAACCAGTAGCGATCACCTATAGAGACAGAGTCTCAGCGAGTGTAGAAGACACAGAGCTGACATTAGCAGTACCTATAGAGACAGAGTCTAGGTACAAGTCATGAGTATGAGTCGTAAGAGATCATAAGAGAGTATGCATACCTCAGCGAGTGTAGAAGACACAGAGCTGAGGATATGGAGCATATAGTACTAGGTTTATATACCAGTCTGGAGCAGATATCATGATGTCATAGTGGAGTAGTGATATCATAGATGAGTAATGGATGACGCAATAATGAGGTCAGGTATGAGGTCATTGTGGAGCGAGCCAAAGTAATCTAAAGATACTACATATGATGTCATGTCTACATACTGTGATAGTTGCTAATACAAACAAGCTTCAACAAATTAAAATTGCGTGTTATAACATTGGAGCCAGTCAGCCAGATTGTATATAGAGGTATACAATCTCTTTGTTCTGTTTCAGAGTGAATACCAATAAATCTGATCAGAGATACCTGGAACTTGAGACTTGTGAGAGCACAAACACATCTCTGCCTTGAGTGAATCACTATACATACAGTTAGCAGGTTAGCAACAAATCCATGCAGACATTTAGCAGGTTAGTGCCAAATCCATGCATACAGTTAGCAGGTTAGTGACCATACCCACTGCAACTCCAATCTTCAAACAGCTTGACAGCAGCCCAGTTGGGAGACTAGTGCAAAAAACTGACACCCAGCTGAATGTCTACAAGTTAGGTACTGTATCCAATCTGCATCAAGGAAAGGGACTGGCCCCCAAAGGCAGTTGAGGTCCAATTGATGCCATCTGAGGCTTGTATGCCCACATATTCATAGCCCAGCCATGGAGCCATAAAAAATAACCCCAGTCATGCACATGGCTACAGCCATGGACATTGGTTGGTTTTTACCTTGGCCGGAGATGAGACCAAATGGGGATAGATTTGATGGGAGTTCTACCAATCGACTACGCACTCGTCGGTAGCGTGGCTGGGAACATCCTTGCCGCGATATTGCATACCCGCAATGAGTCGATGGAAAATAGGTGTAGTTGCGATCGCCCAGATGAATGGTGCCGGTCCTTCCCGATGCAGCTACTCCTGCCCGCGAGGATAACTTCCGGCGGGGCCACTTGATTGATCTATGAACCCGAAGAAGCAAATCGTTTTGAAAGTCGCGGGAAGAGCCGTGGTCTGCCTCTGACGAAAGTTTGAGTGTAAGGCGCTTGGAGTGGGCAAGCTGGGTTCCGTTTGCGGACAACGAAAGCTTGCCCGCGCAGAGTATTCCGTAATCTTGCCGACAAGGCCACAACGACCCGGCTCGCAGTGCGTAATGAGCAAACTTCACTCGAGGGGTTTCCTGAAGACTCCAATCAGATGCTTCGGACGATCTACTTTCGAGAATTACCGAGGAATCGTCGGGACGGCTTCCAGACGGATGATGTTGGATCCAAACTTCGATCCGGAACGCAATGTGGAGGAGACTTTCTCGATTGGGCCTAACCGCGGATGATTCGCAAAGTGTGGTGTACGAGACTCCCGCGCGGTGCGTAGCGGGAGATGAAACCGTCTGGAGCGGAGCCCATGCAGACCCTTCGAACTCCGCCCCTCAGCAAGTTAGCAATGAAGCTGGCGTTCTCAGCCCCACGGAAGAACGAGCAACTGGTGCGTCGTTCTTCCATGCCGGCAAAAGTCGTCTGCTAACTCCGCACCCAAAGCTACCGATATTTCTCCAGACCGTCGACTTTATGGGAGGAATGTCGAAGACGCATGTGCTCGCGCCTTCGCCCCCAGCGTGAGGCGGAAGCGGTTGGAGTAAGTCAGGACTCCCCTCCGGTATCGAATTCCAGAGCCGGGATGCGGTGCTTGTCCACTCGTCGCAGTGCATGATACGTAGCCGTAACGAGATGAGTGGTCGACTCCTAGGGAATAAGGTTATTTCCTATTGTAGTCTTGCTGCAGCTTGCGCCTTCTAGATGCTAGTTTCCTATTTCCGTGATCTAGTCCAAAGGCCCCTCTGTAGCACCAGCACAGTATCTCGAGACTTGGAACGGAGGCTGGTATTTGGTTGCAAATGCGTTATGCGAGTGGGTATGTGTCAATTAAGCAGTACAGCATGTGTGGTAGTGAGAGATTACATGAAAACATTCATTCGTGTATGTCATTCTCAGAGCATGACGGAGCATATGCAGCAGCTCAGAGTAGCCACTGGACCCAAACAATCAAGCACAACAACAGCCCAAACGGCGGGACTGCCCCTCGGGACATGATGCCCGCGTCAATCAGAGGTGTCGCCTGCCCGATGGTCGAATTCAAGCAGTCCAGCAGCGTCGGATCGATCCCACTAGGCAGCGGTGTGTCTGCTGTCGAGTTCTCGGCTGCAAAGACCGCCGAATTGTTGTACCCGTCCAGTGTCAGCGCCACTGAGCTCGCACGGTAGTATTGCACGACTTGCTCAGGTGCATAGCCTGAGCCTGACGAGTTAAGTGGTGTCGGACCTGTGGGAAGTGGCGTGACGAGGTGCGATGAGCAGTTGGAGGTGATGGCAGAGATGAGGTCCCCGACAGTCGTATTGTCAGCTATCAGGTGGAATGTCGAGGCCGTCGAGTTTGATTGGAATGTCGCGCTGGCCATAGGCCCGCCGGGCCGAGAGGAGTTCGTTGCATCGCCGTACTGCGCGTCAGGTCGGCGAGGGGGACGGATTGCAGACCATGACGAGACTCACCTCGCCGTCATGCAAGTACGCATTTTCAGATGTATATCCCGCTCCGGAGCCCCATACAACAGGCCAGAAATAGAACGGGAACCCGCGTCCCGCGACTCCGCGCGAATATATGCCGGGATACCCGCTACCGTATGTTCTGGCACGGGACAAAGATAAGGCTGTGCGTTGAAGACCCGAGAAAGAGCACGCACCGGGTCCCCCAGATCTGATTTCGATTCGCGCCGCCCTGAGAGCGCCCCGCAAAGGTTTGGCCGGAAGGGATCGTGCTGGACTTGCCGCCCCCAAAGTTGTAAGTCGTTGCAGAACGAGCGCCGCCGGATGACGAGATGGGTGATGTCTTGCCCGATGATGAGGACGACGAAGTTCCCTTGCCGGTGCCGGAACTAGACGAGGATGACGACCCTTTGCCGCCAGAGGAGGAGGATGAAGAGGAGCTGCCGCCACCCTTTGCTCCACCGCCGCCCTTCTGGGGACTCCTGGGAGTGAGGTATGGGATGAACATGCGAATGGTTCAGGTCGAAGATGAAGGGCCCGGAAGTGGAGTAGCGATCGAGCCAAGTCCAGTTCGAGGTCGAGGTATACAAACAGTTTTGTTTCCGCCAGTGCGGCGGTGCCACCTCCTGTCAGGCTGAATCGGGAGTCTTTGTGCGCGGTAGGGCGGTGTATGTCGCGCTCGAGGGAGAACTGCCCCCAGCCAGTTGCATTTGGACGGCAAGGGCGGAACAGCTCCAAGTCAATGTCATGAGGCACGTCACCTTTGGACGGTCCTCTGCTGTGCCTTACAAATACTGATCTGATGCAGGATCACGTGAAGCAAGGAGGGGAACACGTGTGTCTCTCGGGTTGCGGTGAGCGCACCTGATCGCCACGCGTCTGTCATTCGGATGCGCTGCTCTCATGTGTAGCGCACTGCTCGCCAATATATGCCTGCTCTTCTGTTGCCCTCTCTCCGCGCGTGACCCATGGCTCCGCATAGCTCGTCGGTAGGAGGACTCCCGTGACCTGAAAAGCGCGTGATGTGCACAGCCCCTCGTTTGGATCACCAGACAACTCATGAAACATCGGTTGAGCGATGTGCTCTGACCCCCATCGGCAATTGGGCGCAGCATCAGATTTTATTAGGGTTTTTTTCAGGAAGGCCATTTCTGCATTTCCAAACTCAGTGAGTCAGAGATCCGAGTTCGTTCTGAATTTCTCATAGTTCTTGACTCAGCGTTCGATGTCTCTGAGCCTATCGGACTTTTGCATCAGCACGGGCCGACCAGCGGACTAGATGCGAGTCCTATCATCTTGTGCGTTCTATGACGTCATCCCCGAGTGCGAAATCCGAGCATGCGCAGTTGAGGCAGCTTCTCCCTTGAAGGTGCCCCAATCGATCAACCCGTGCAATGGAAATAGCTTCGCCGCGCGAAATGTCGAGAAAATGTCTGTTCGGAACGGTGCAGCAATCTACCGGCTGCGAATTGGATTCCTGGAAGACCCTCGGCGGCAAACATTTCCCGCAAATACCTTGCTCGAGATGAAATCAGCTTGAACCTTGAAGAAACCCAGCCCTCGGCGCCTGATCTGGCACCGAAGTGCCTCGTCTGCTCTGGAGCCTAATCGACGGTGAAACACGTCTCAAACACAAGGAAGCTTGTGGCCGGAAAGTTTCAGGCCACGCCTGAAATAACGCGGCACGGACCACTCGGAAGAGGTTCTCCGCCCTTCGCGCCGCGTGCCATGAAAGGGTATCAGCCGCCGGACCTCAAACTATCAGGTCCCCTAGGTGGGCCCGATATCTTGGCCTGTTGCTTAGACTTCAGGCATCACATCTCCCCGCTTTTCGCCGTCAATAATGCAGGGCCGCAGACAGGACTCATCCGTACACTTTCGTGGTCACTTCACTCTTGCATGGCCTAATTATTCCGTGGGGATATCATTCACGCCGCAACAACAGGATTCTCGGGTTCTTGAAACGTTCCTCCTCGGATTTCCACTCCGAAAATCGCATGCGCGTGCGCAGGCTTGACTTGCCCGTCTCTTCTAATTCTCATATCGCCTTCTCAGCATCCCAGGGTGGGCAGCGACGTGATATTTGATTTGTGACTTGGCAGAATTATGCAAATGAACAAATGCGATGTCGGTTACCCACCAGATCCGTCAGCTGACGATGCCACCCGGGCTCAAAGGAGCAGCGGGTCGAGACCGACAAGAGCATGGGATTGTCCCTCGTGTCTCTTGTGAATACACGTTGTTTGGTTTCCCCCTTCTCTGTCCGTCTTTGCGACCCAAAACCACCCATTGCAGACCCGTTTTCGACCTCTCATCGCTTCGGCTGTATGAGTATTCGATGACTTGTGAACGGGCAAAAGAAGACGAGATAAAAGGCGATGTCAAGTTACTCAGCAGCTTCGCCGGCGGACGGTGGGACGCAGGCTTGAAAACATCAGGATGGCCACCAGTCGAGACCGATCATAGCATTGGGTTGGACGTTATTTCGGCTGAGCACACACGCTAATAATGTGATCTTCTTCCCATTTTTGCCTGTTCCGTCGAATTCCCTTTCTTGCATTGCCAGATGGGAGCGGGTCCATGATTCCCGTCATGGGGAACTCGGCATCCCTGCTGCCGCCCCCCATGCATGCTGCCTCTCTGCGACCGAGCACATGGTTTGACACCCACTCCGCCCGCACATACAAGAACCGAAGGTTTACCCGCCCGCTGGAAACCTTCCCCCCGCGTCCAAATCGAGAGAATCGCAGTCTTTCGCCGCCGCCGACGCGGGCTGAGCAGCCAAAAGCTTAACGGCGACTGGTCCCTGGAACACAGGAGCGATCGATGATCGCAGGATGGATGGATTGCCGATGAGCAGTCTGCTATCGAGTCAACCATGCGAACATGCGGCTCACCTCGTTCCCGCGCGTTTGTGAACTGAGATTGGGAAGCACGCAGGTTGTCCTAGCGAGAGTATGGAAACCACCTCGCATCAACTCACAGAAGATAAAAGATGATTAATGGAATAATTGCTACAATTCTATACATTACAGGAAGTATATGCTGTGGTTTCCAGCCCATCGGAGAGTGAGCGGAGAAAAAACTGGGTGCCTCACGACCACCCATCATGCGAACGCTGACGCAACGGGAGCGGCAGCCATGGCTTGCGCTTCCCAGATCGTGCATTGTAGGCTTCAGGATTGGAAAGTCCGACTCTGCGAATTTTCGCCAATCTAGTGGGGACGATATCAATCAGCGTCTTGCAGAACGTTGAGGGGTAGCAACCACTCACCTGCGAAGTCCAGAGGAAGCCACGGCTACCGCCAATACTGTGGCGAAACTACTCATGCCATAGAAGGCCCAAGGATGGGCTTCAAAATGATTTGTCATCTGCGATTGCGCATCGTGAGAAGATGGACATGAACGTGTTGGCGATTCTTACGTTCATTCCAACAAGCCCAGCGACGAGAGCACCTGACCCAAGGCCCATCGTGATGATTGAAACCTGCAACGCGATGTCCATGAGCCGAACTGATACTCTGTCGAGACATACCTGGAGATCCAGAGCCAAAAGAGCGTTGCGATTCGAATCTAGGATGAGTTCGACAATCTCTTGCGTCGATTGGACGTTGGTCTGTTGGTCTGTTCAGTTTGATCAATGTGACCAGAGAAGGGCATCATGACCTCGATGTTCCCCGCTTCGTTGACGATTTCTTCGACCTGTTTCGAGAAAGACTCGAGCAGAACTTCAATATCGTCGTGATCATTGAGTTGCCTGGCTACGTCATTCTTCTTGTCGGTGAGATACATAGAAACCAGATCGTCGTCTATCCGAACAGTTGATGTTGGAACAAGAACTAAAAAAACTGACTTGCCTTGGGTCAACAAGTCCTCAAGCGCTTCGCCAACCTGGAGTGATGATGACACAATGAGTACATGGCTGGCTGGTTGGGTGATTTTGGGACGGATCAAACACACCAGTTTCACGCGGTTTTGGAAGCTCGCCAGCCTTCTCGAATAATGAAGCAATCGTTTGAACCGATCGTGATCGATGTTGTCTTCCAACTCGGCTAACAGGCCCCCAACGAGATTGCGAATGAAGACCATCTCCGCTTCTAGAGCACTTACAACCGAGAGAAGGATGGATTCAAGAGCGCTGCGGAATTGATCAGATCTAGGAGAAATGAACACAGTGCGAGCCGCACCGGAACTCGTAAGGTGACCCTGACCCCTTCGTTTTGAGGTTGTGCTACATTTCATCTATCAATCGCGGGTCTTCGATCAATGGACCGCGAACAGACTTCTAGGTGGTACAAAAATACAGAGTGCAGCCGGGAGTCTGCAGACCCAAAAGTGTCAAATAGGATCACGCTGTCCGCCTTGACCAAGGCACGAATGTGGAGCACGTTGACCTGCACCCTCAAAGTCACATGGCTGAATAATCGATTACAGCAGAGGACTGACGAGGATGGCCTCCTTGCGGACGAGGATGGTAGGGACGAGGTTCGGTACCCGAGAATCAATCTTCCGAAGGTCCCGTGGCTAGCGCACAACATCGTCAAACGGACGTGATACCCAAGGGTGAGCAACTGACGTTTAATTTGTGTTCAGAACAAAGATCCGACCGCTTGAATTCGCCCGAGATTGTCTTGACATTGCCTAAGACAAAAGTCAAAAAAGGGACTAACCGGCGAGAATGGTGGGCTAAAACCTTCAACATCAAACACAGTGCCTAGAATGACGCTAAGCTGAGCAGCGGGGAACACAGTATAGAGTCACGCACAACGAAGCATGAGATCCGCCGGCTGGCGCCCCTTCATCGCCTTCTCTAGAAACGCAGCTCGTGTCGCCTCCTCCTGGTATTCGGACACTCGGCTGTCGCCTTTGAATTGCATGGCGCGAAGTCGGTCTGATCTCCACCACGATGCATGTCTCCGGACCATCCCCCATCCCGAGCCCAAAGTCCCAGCACGCGAAACATGATCGAGCGCGCGTGATGATGCCACCAGGTGAAAGTGAGTTATGAGGACTGATCCGTGGCCGACGCGCACGCGAGCCGCGGCAGCCGGGAATGAGGCCCGAGAAGAGAACACGAATGGCAGCTTCACATGTTGCGGCTGCAAGAACATCCGCGCGCTGGACGAGACGTGGAGGCGGCTTGCAAAATTTCGGGCGGCGATGCGACTGACGGTCACGACCGGGTACGTCACAGACACGTGTGTGATGCCATCAATCGGTCACGTTTCGGCCGAATTCGGTGTCATGATTTAGTCCCACGGGTCATCCCCAGTGAGATCTGTGGGGTACTACGCGAAGCTTCTCGCCCAGCAGTTCGGCGGCCTATGGCCGAATTTTCATCTGACTCGCCTCTCTTCTCTCGCGATGAAGCCTCGAGGACAGCGGTGCCACAGGCCACCGCCACGGCGTCGATGCACGTCCGTTAGAACGGTGACTAATGTCTTCGAGCGATCGTTCACCCCTGCTTCGTGCCTTACGATCCGGCAGGTCCACTTGGCCTATCTCATCTTGAGAATTCCGACAACGTGTTATGTCTGCCTTCTTCCTAGATCGGACATTTCCGTCTGTGGACTGGTGGATCAGACGGCTCGCGTCTGGTGTGTGCAGAACGTGTTTTCGGGGGAAACGTATATAACGCATCTCTTCACCTCGCTTAGGCTTTATATCATGCCCTTGGCTTGACCGCTCGTCCTCGACACCCTCCCCCCCAATCCCCTGCCCCTCCGTCATCGACCACCCTGGCCCACTCATGTCCGACACCCGGCGACTCATCGAGGCCGCTGCGGCTCTCTCTCAGCTTTTGCGCGCCCAAGACATCCCACACGCGTTTCACGGGACGGTCCTCATAGCCGCGCTGACGAACAGTCCCGTCTGCGATGTGCGTCATGCCCGCGCGTCGCTGCTGTCACCGCGGCTGATGCTCATGGCAGGAGATATACTGCATCGTCGAGGGTGGACAGAACCAGCCGCATGCATTTCGACGTGTGCGCAGTGCCCTGGCGGGGTACGGGGACTTTGCGGTGTCGCTCTCTCCGTGGACAAATCGGTATGTGGCTTCTTTCACCGCGCAGCTCCGTCCGTGCCCACATCCTTCGTCCAGACTGCACGTCTCTTATCGACGTTTCATACCGTCCATTGATGTGCGCTTGAGCTCTTCTTGCCGACTTCCTTCTTCGACTGACGGTGGGGCACACGACCAGATAGAGATCCTTCCGGCGGGCGAGACTGGGCCTCGAACTCTCGACGCGACGACAACGATGAAGCTGCAGGGGCTGCCGTTCTTAACACTATCCGAGTTCATTCGATGCAAGCTAAAGGCCTGGCTGATGTATGCGCGCTTCTCTCTCCTTTCTGGACGCAGGGGCGCTGACACGCGGATTATCCAGCAGGGGGGAAGATCGTGACGCGCAGGACCTTGCCTACAGCTTCTCCCGCTACTGGAACCGCATCGATGTCAACCGCATTCCAGAGCAGGACATGAGCTTTTTTGTGGCCAAGAACCCGGCAGTCGGCCCGGCGTGGGCGGCATTGAGGAGGAAGTACGGAATGTAATAGGCACTATGTCATAATGTGCGTCTGCGGGCTCACATGCACATTCGAGGCTGATTCCGATAAGCTAACGCTATGCCCGTTCGGTCACCTGACAGAAGCGCGCTGCTCGCCGTCGGTTTACGCTGCGATCTAATTTCTCTCGGGGTCTCTCTGTTGTACTTATCCTGGACCTTGTGCCCAAACCCAAAATACTATTTTACCTATTGGTCCGTAATCGCGTACTATCTGACGTAGGGTATCGACGAGCGGTCCAGTCTGATATGATCTGCAAATCTTGCCCTGCCTGCCGCACGCCTGCTGGTCGATTAGCGCTCCACTGATCTCCCATGACGAGATGCGGTTGCGGTTCAACAGTCTGCCGCGACCGTGGCGACCGAGCTAGAACTTCACCGAACACGTTCAATCTTGTCAAGGTAGAGACCTTGAGTAAGTCTTGGTCAATTCAATTTCGGCGAGCAATTCAACAGCTGCCAGTGCGACTACACCCCATATCTCGGTGTATCGTGTGACATCAGAAACTCAGTAGCTTTTGATTTTGTGTATGCTGAAACAAGATGGAACATCTGGGGGGATAAGCCCAGCATCACCCCGCTGAACAGAGTCGTGGCAGCCCACGGATCCCTCCGGACAGATACAAATGCCCGACATATCGACGCGGGCTCCGGGGAATCTGCGCGCGACTAGGGGGCCGCCGTCGGACTCCCAAGGGTGCAATTCCCAAACCCCGGGTGGCCCGGATTTAGATTCAAGGCCGGCTATTCCCAGAAAACTGCGCCCGTTCTAAAAACGAGCCCACATCAGCTGATGATGCCATAATAAGAGACTGCACGGTGGGAACACTTGCCACTGTTGCGGGGACTGGGAAGTCGGATGCGCATGATTCGCACTGGTGATGCTTGTCGAATTCAGAGTCGCTGAAGTCCGGGATGGAGCTCTCTGATTCGGTGCCGTCACGATCGCTCTCACTCGATGACTCTGAGTCGAAATCCGGCGGCGCCCAGTAGTCTTCCGAGTCATATCCTGAATCTTCATCGTCGCCCAGTATCCTGTCGACTTGGTACCGCACCAGGTCGTCCAAATCGATCTCGATCCCGACCAGCGATTCGAGAAGAATCTGGTCGGCGTCCAAAGTCTCGCTGCAATCGGTGGCGCCCGAGTGAGTATCGGCGCAGTTTAGGTGCTGTTTACGGTTGGAGAGAAAGCAACAAGTCAACACACACGCCAAGCAAACGAAAGACGGGGACGGCGAGGCACGCACGAGAAAGAGGGAGCTGTCGTTAAGGAATCGCCGGTGGCACAACCCACATGAGGGATGAGCAGGGGAGGCATCGACGTGTGCCGCGCGGATCGATACGTCGGCGAAGGACAAGCCGCAGAGGTTGCAGTGGACTGGCAACGTGCGTATGGAAGATTCCGAATGCATGTTGATTGAGTTAGGGAGGCCCCGGGTCGTCACTGCATTTATAGATGCTCTTGCTCATGTCTGAGGGCGGATGATTCAGGTCCAACACCTGGTCAGACCTGCTTCCGCATGAGTCGATAATCGAGATGACCCAATTGAGCTTTGAGACATGGTGCAGAGAAAATGCAGGACTCCGCTTTATCCTGAACACTGCACGATTCTCCATGTAATCCTCAGGGTTGCCCGTTGGCGTCAAGTCCAATAAAAATTAGGGGCCAATGTCCGCTTGACAGGTGGCGATGCAAGCGACTTCTGATGATGTGCTAACTATAGTACGAAATCCGGAAATCATGACCTCAAAGTAATTTGACGTCCTTTCTGCCAGTGCAGTAATCACCTTGACACGGTGCTGGCATGGATCAGTCTATTCAATGAACAGGTAAGAGTATGAAGGTGAGCATGGCTGGCTGCAAGACCCTCGGTTGTCAGTTGTCAGAATTGGTATGGTGCATGACATGAAAATCTCATTCTGATTCACGATTACACTAGAGGCCTTACAGTACGACAGGGCTTTAATTATGTCTATCCCCTAATGACGTCTGCGCTTCGAGTGGGTCATCCTGCTAGTCATATAACACACAGCAAAATCCTCTGTTCTAAGTGTCGGATGCGTAGGGATACATATGTAGGTTGCCATATGGTACAATGAGGTGTAACAAAAAGTGGATGGGTGTCGCCGCCAAAATGAGTGTGTGCGTATGTACGTGTGTCGCAGATTATAACGTGTGTTTTACATAGCATACTAAGTCCCAAGATGAAATCCAGACTGGCCTCTAAGATGGCCGCCGGCGCTTCAGCACATTGTCGTCGCCGAGCAGGCGGTGGTGCGTCACCGCCACCTCGCACAGCGTCTGCAGCGAGGAGGACGCAATGGGAGGAAGCACGGATAAGATCTCCGGGCTTGTGTCGCACCGCGCATCGGTTTCGCTCGCCGCGCTCGAAGCAGGCGACGTCGGGGGTGTGCTGCCCGACACCGTGCTGCCGGGCGCAGAGCCGGCGGTGCTGCTGCTGCTGCTGCTACTGCCTTCGTCGCTGAAGCACGGGGCAGCCCCTGAGCGCCTGCGTTTGAACGGCGGCCCGAAGAGACTCTCTGACATGTTCACATCCGGAGGGCCAGGGGCGGACTTGGCTCGACACTGGGCCAAGAAGACGGGCAATCCGCATGGTGCTCGGCGTGCAGTCCGGCGGTCAGTTTCTGCCTCATCTGTGGCTGGCACGATGGAGTATTCGGGTCTGGAACGCAAAAAGCAGTATCAGTGCCTGATCGTCATGCAACGGTATTCCGTAAGGGGAGAGAATAAGCGCGAGGGGAATGATGATAGTATGTTCTATCACACCGCATCCATGGGATAGCGGAATAACGGATATGCATATGATGAGGGATGAGGAGACTCACATAACGTCAGCCAGTTTTCGTTTCAATAGCTCGCACCGCGTGCGGGCGGAATCCCGCTCGGAACGCAACCGGACTGCACACTCCTTGGCAGCCCGCGCGAAACCTAGCAGACTGTGGTTCGCAGACGCATGCATCTCCGCGCGCCGCTGCCAAGTCGAGCAGGTCAGCCGCAGCGCGGCGAGCTCAGACTGGAGCCGTTCGCGATCGGCATGGCACGTCGAGGAGCCGGGTGTGAGTGTGGAAGACGAGGACGAGGATGAGGGTGAGGAGGGAAACGACGATGGCGTAGTGTCGGACATCGATGCTGCCGGAATGGTGCCGGGTGTCTCGACCGAGTAAGGCAGATCCGTGCTCGCGGAGGGCAAGATCACGACTGGGTCAATCGATTCTGAGCACGCACGGACTCGTCAGTAAGTATTCCCGCCACAGCTCAGTAAGACGCAGCAGACACACCTGCAGAGTACGCAGCCCGACACCTGGGGCAAGGACGTATGGCCTTTTCAGATCCTGTTCCGTCTCCTCCTCCCAGATTGCGTAGACAACATGCTCGACAGAATATGTGGCCTGCACTGCGGATCAGAGGACTCATAGAAAGTCGGCGGGACGGGCGGGACGCACCACAGGGAAGGGACACGGGCGACGTGAATGGCGCCGCGCAGACGGTGCAGGTGCCCATGATACTAGATGATCGAGGGGGGACAGGTGTTGGTGGAGAGGGTAGATTGATGCTGGTCCGGGGAAGAGCGCCCTGTCATCCTTTTATGTATTTACATATGAGTCGTCCGCAAGTCAGGACTCCGTGGTCAAGTGCAATCGGCGTTTGTCAAGCGGTGAGTAAAACGAGGCTGTGCACTTACGTATGAAGCTGTACGTCCCGGCTAAGGCTCGCTCCCGACCCGGCCCCATCTCCTCGGTCGCGAGCATTTGGCCCTTTGCAAGCATCCTGCGCTTCACAGATGTTGTAGACTTTGTAAAAACATTCGGGTCGAGCAGAGGCACCGGAATCATTAACTTGCTCGGGCAGTGACCTATTTTGTTTTCCAATATCTTTACAAGCGGCTAGATCACCTGACATTCTTGACCAACGCTCATGACTCAGCACCCGCCCACTAATTTTTGATCCGCTCGGCCGACATGGCACGTCAGACCTTCTTCCAAATTCTAATTTCTCACATTGCGCGAGATGCGCGGCCCGGCCTCGGACGCCAAATCCTTTGAGCGGCGGCGAAAACGGACGCAAAATATTGCGGAATTCCCTGGCGTGCGGAGTAAAGGCCTCGCTTAAGCATGTACATCCCGTGCCTTGCGGGCAAAATGTCAGCGTCAGTGCGCTGCCAGTCTCCCAGAAACGTGACCGCATTTGTGGTTCCTGACAAATAGTTTTTGTTTTAGTCCAGGCTCATGCATGACCACAACCCGCGTGCCGAAGGCATGTGTGATGGGGATCATCTTGTGCCGGACGACGTAAAGGCCTTGCGTTCTTGTGCTGCTGGCGAAGCCCGGCGGTACTCAGAACTTTAGCGGCGAAGCTCGGGGACGCACTGACTTCTTCCCTGTGCTTGTATTACAGAGCCATCCGTCTCTCCAATTCGAGTTCACATGGTCTCGCCTGGCATAGGGGCCACTCTGAGCCGATCCCAGGCCACGAGATGCAAGCCCGTCCAAGTCCTGGCTCACAAGGATCATCAGCGGTGCACATAATTTCCTACCCCTGTCCTCCTCCGGCCTCCGATTTATGATTGCATCGGTCGGTCTTGCCAATCCGAGAGATTGGATCAGTCCCTAGGTGCTCAGGCACTTTGCATCCCTTAATTGCAGTGGCATACCGAGAAATCCGAATATTATGAAGTATGCTATACATAAACATCTTGTTTGCCAAGGAATTTTCAAGGCCGAGCCTTTTAGGACTAGGCTAGCCCAGCTTAGTCTAGACACAACATATAATACGGTGAGCATCTCCACTCACAGTACTTAATAGCTGGAAAATCAAGTGGTCCTCATGGGAAAAAAGTCCTGAGTTCTGTACAGCAGCGCAGCTGTTGTGCTGGATGCCGCCGGGCTATAACTGATCTAGCTTGCCCTCCCGTCCCGGCATCTCTCGGGTAGGGCCAGATGCCTTCGCGTCCAGTCAGTCGCTCCAAGTGTAGAGTAAATTCGGTTTCGGGCGAGTGATTTCGGTATGGAATACCTCCGGAACGCTGGAAAATCCGATGATTCTTGATGTTTCTGACCGATTTCCGACTTTGCAGTCGAATCGGGCCAACAAAACAAAAATTCAGCTCGATCGACCATTAGAAATGATTATTTGAGTATCCGGACAGAGATCTGGGCTTGTCCAGCTCTAACTCTGCAGCGAGAAACGGATTATCCGTACGAAAATAGGATGCAAGAAGGCCAAAGAGCACGAGAACCTGGAGTAAATATGTGTCAGGCTGCAGAAGGACATATGTGTGAGCGACCGGGAACCTGTTCTTCTCTAACACGCAACGTGAAAGCATTAACAAAGCATTTGGCCGAAGGGCATCAATCTTGTTCAAATCCGCACTGTTTGCGTTTACTCTGAAATCATCCAACAAGCCTATTCGGCACATCTTAGGGACTATCCTTCTTCTGACCCCTTCAATTGTGAAGCCCGGTTAGATGACTTATTCGAAATTGTTCTCTTCACTTGAATTCTTGTGATCCCACTGATTTTATCCTATCTAATCTAATCTATTTTGCCTATCATCAGTCAACCCATCATGTGGTATGAGTCACTGTGACTGCCTGATTTGATGGTCCGTATGGATCTTTTTGGGCCACCCGCACTATGTCCTTGACCTCGGTATTTGTCGGCGGCCTTGACATCGGATATATTCGTACTTGCTATTTGTGATGCGCAGGAAACTGTGGACGGATAGCTTTCCTGGGAACGGATAGCGAGCCGGAATACACGCGCGGATGTCTCGCATTTTCTTGCACGAAACGTAAGTCAATTCGAAGGCGGACGGCCCTCTGCTTGTTGTCAAGTATATAGACGACGGACATGAGCCCGTCGCGTGCCTCTCGAAAATTAAACGGCCCGGGAATCAAGATACCTATCTGATCTGTTCCCTAGTTGCCTGGTTATACACGATACCGACGCTCGCCAAATCGTCAAGGGCATTGCTGACGTGCGATGCCAGTCGCTGATTGCAAATGGTGTCGGCGGAATTTCAAGACCGCGAGCGCCCTTTTCTTCTTGCCCTCCTCCGGCTGGCACTGGTCTCGTCCCTTCGCGAGCTTCTCTCCTGGTGAGGGGCCCTTTTGCTCATCCCACTTCGTCTTTCTTTTCAACACGGGATGTACCACTTTGATACGTCGGAAGGGCCTGGAGTTGTCGTGCGTTGCCTTCCTTTCTGTAAATAGACGCTGAGCTCGCGCTCATTTGTCCGCAGGTGCTGGCGTGCGCAGCTATCATCTCGCTGCTTTCGATCTGTATATTCTTCTTGGTGCGTGCGTCCATCAGCTGCATGATAACTCATTCACCTGTGCTTTAATAGTACAAGCGGCTGCGGCTGCAGAATTTCGGAAATGCTTACATCAATGGTTACTTCATGACCCTACTGGCTGCCAACTTTATCCAAGCGTTCGGTACCGTGATGAATTTCCGATGGGCACAGTTGGGTCGCACAGAGGACGGTTTCTATTGTATGGCCCAAGGTGTGTGGCTGAATCATCACTCGGATATCCATCCATCTGACGCGTCCGCTCGAAAGGCGGAATCAAGAATGCTGGAAACGTCGCAACGGCACTCTGGTGCGGTCTCCGCTGCTTATTCCTCGCGTATGAGCGAGATATCTGATCATTCATTCAAGGTCGTTCGGATTGGCTATGCATCTGTTCACGCTCCTCTTTCTCCGCATTCGCGCGTGTGCGTTCAGCTTCTGGGGATCCCTGCTGGCAGGATGGGGTCTCGTGCTGTTCATCGTATGCATCGGACCGATTGCGATCGAGAAGCCAGGCAGCCCGTATTTCGGTGTTTCCGGCGCCTGGTGCGTATTTCTTATCTCGTAATATATTCTGCACCCGTGGGCTGACTTGAACACCGGCAACAGGTGTTGGATTACCGACGACTACCCTTTGGAACAGATCTATTTGGAGTACTTCCTCGAGTACCTTTCAGCGGCACTGTGCATGATCCTGTACACAGCGATCATCCTGCGCATGAGAGGCAACCTGCTTCGCGAGGAGGGCCGATGGTGCATCCGGTCGTTGCCCTCGGATGAAGAGTCATGGCAGCTATCGCTCAGGAGAGATTTGGTCGACTACACAATGTTGGAGGCGATTCAGCGGATGGTTTGGTGGGCAGCGTCTCTTTCTGTGAGACCACAAGGCTGAACATGGTATCACAGGTATCCTCTTGCCTACACTGTGATGTTGATCCCGATCACCATTACCCGTTTGACATCATTTGCGGGCGGCAATGTTCCCTTCTGGGCCATTGTCATTGCAGACGTAGTCTTCAATCTCACAGGTAATCCGATCCCACGATACAAAAACGCAGGATAACTAATCAATACACTTGCACAGGGTTCGTCAACGTGATGATTTTCCTCGCCATGCGCCGGTTCTTCCCAGATCCTCGCACCCTTCCAGAGCTTGCGATGGCGCGCCCAGATGTGCGCAAGTCACTGTTTAAGGCTGGCGGAATCTCGCCGTTCACGTTGGAGCGCAGCGACGACGCGGAGAAATTCGATGTGGAGCGCCTGGCTCGGTCTCAGACGCCGGATGTTATGATCTCGCTTCCGGCACTGGCGAAGGAATGAGCATCTTTTTACATTTTTATACCTTATTATACCTGGGAGAGCAGTCTTTGTTCGTTCTTTCATCCTAACCCCTGCTGCTGCTCACCCGAGATCGCCGAAACTGTTGTACAGCCACCTCCAGCCTAATCGTGTAAGGATTCGTGGCCTGATACATGGCCGGATCATATCATGCTCGTCCAGGGAGATGTCGAGACCGATTCTGGCGATCAAATTCTCGGTCTCAAGGGCCAGAATGATGGGACAGTGATGTCCGGGTCTAGGTGAATTTTGTGGGAACCCGATTCTCGTTGGACCATCCATATTTTCATGGAGCAGTTACTTCAAGAGGTTCCGTTAGCCTATTGACCCAGTCGAGTCCTGAGCGTGGTTGATGGTGCATCAGGCGCATCAATCTGTGGGGACAGGGCAACTGTTGAGTTCTTCGGTGTGCTTTACGAAAATCAGGGTTTTTAGAGGTCTTTAACTCTTATCATACTTTCAATATCAACGGAAATGACTTGTCAGAATTCCCGTTAATTACTTTGCCTGCAGCGCACGGGTAAATATCTATTTCTCCCAATTTTCATGGAACGCGAATCCGCATCCCCACAATGCTTTGAAGGGTTCTCATCGATCCGCAAACTATCCATTGCACCTGAAGTTCAGGGGATTGTGCCGAAGTCTACAGTCCCATTGAAGGCTCCTGAGCACGCGCGTTTCCATTGCCGCCTGCACTGTGAACCCCCAGTATCTCAGCAAAAGGCTCGCGAGTGGCTATTACACACACTCTTCTTTTAGATGCTTAGGGCGGTGTAGAAGGCCTTCTTTCTTTCGACGAGACAACTCGGCAGGCTGTCAGAGTTGACAAACGGGTCTCTGTAGACCAGATCATTGATTCAGGTGCACTCAGGTTGAAGCAAGAGAATGACCGGGGTGAGGCGCTGAGACTGCTGTCACTGAGAGGAACAGTTTACAACGACTCTGATTGCCAGGTTCGAAGATGTCCGGTCGGAACGCACAACGCCAGTCATCATGATCTCTCGGCGATGCACGGCCATGTTCTGGGGCCTTCCTAGCAGAAAACCTGTGTATATTCTGTAGCTCGATGCAGTTGCTTTCCACTATTGCAAGCTTATGACTCTCCGTTCATATGTTGTCGCTCCATAGGATGAGCTACCTCGAAGCAGAACAGTCGAATCCCGATTGCTTGGTACGTATATGCATTGCCTATTGACAAATATGACAATATACTGTGCACTACGTTCTATGTCTAGCGCTCCATTCTGTTCAAACAACAAGAACAGCTCGGTATCGGACCTGGCCATCTCTCAATCTGGATATGCCCGCCTCGAACCCCACCTTTGTCATCGGGAACTTTTCGATCACCGGCTCAATGTGGTTCCTCGAATTCCAGCATCCGCCGGTGCACAGACCGAGCAGCCCCACTCGAGCCCTGGATGTTGATCCCGCCCAGGATAAGGGGGAGTCTGGGAATCGGCAGGTTGTCCTTGCTGACTGTAGCGGCTAAATCGTGCCCTTGCGCTCCCTCACCGCCATGTAAGGCGTCCACGACGGAATGAAGTTCGTCGCCTCGATCAGGTGGTCTAGCAGCCGCACGTTCTCGAACTAGCCCACACCCCGCGTCGCGTGGAACTCCGACGCGCCCAGGACGAATGCCTCCTCCCGCTTCGCGTCCGAGCTCGAAAAGACGACGACCTCTGCACCCATCATGGCAGCGAACGTGGCCGCCACGTGGCCGAGACCGCCGAGACCGACGACACGCACACGATGCGTGGGCCGGATGTTGTAGCTCTCGATGATCTCGAACACAGTCGCGCCGCCGCACATCAGGGGCGCAGGGTGCTCCGGTGCTAGCCCCGCTGGCACCTCAAACAGGAACGGATCCTCCCAGACCGCGTGCGTGCCGAACGAGCCCTGGTCGAAGCTGTGCGTCCCGTGCATCTCGTGCTCGGTGCAGTACTGGTCCTGTCCTACCGGCCAATAGAGTCAATGAATGAGTCTGACACATCATGGACTGGCCAGCCAACGCACCCTGCATGCGATGCTCGCATTTGCCGCATGTCTAGTGGGTGTAGCCCTATCCTACGACGCCGTCCACGCGCAACCTCGACACATCCGATCCGATCTGCGCGACGACACCCTCGCCCTCGTGTCCTAGCGCCATGTCGGCGTGCTTATAGTGCTCGTCGGTGCCGCAGATGCCAGAGCGTGTGATGCGGCTAGGACTTGTTTCCCGGTCGGCGCAGGTCGCGAGCTGGTGGCTTGGATGATGCCGTCGGTCTTTGAGCCCTTGCAGACGGTGAATTCGACGCTCATCGTAGTGGTGGTGGTAGTGTTTTGCATATCGGTAGGAAAGGGTATTGGCGGGGCTCTCCCCCTCATCCTTGCATCTTGTATCCGGATGCGATGAGAGGCGCAGTCAGCAAGCGAATGCGTTGCCGCCGATGGTTGCTGAGAGAGCAATAGCACTGCCGGAGACCATAGTAGCTGGGAAGATCACCCATGACGTCATAGCTAAGCAGCCCGCTCGATAAGCACATTGGTGAGCTCGGGCTTGAATACATGTGGGATGGAACATGGCCATGGCTGCGGAGATACCCAGAGGCAGGGGGGCCACAAGCGCCGTCAGAAGAGACTGGCAGGGAGTACCCCAAAAGACCAAACCGGGAGGATGTCCCAAGGTGGTGCTCGGTGGCCTCTGGCGAGAGCACGAGCAAGTAACGTTGACCGGAAGGGTAAGTGCTCGGGTTTGAGGTGCAGGGAAGCAACGTCAGAACGGGATCTGATGGAGAGACCACACGTTACACTATGCGAGCCTGCAATATGTCACAATATGACGAACCTGAGGTCTCGCCTGCGGCATGGGCCGCACACCATTCTGTGCTCCATCCTCCTGGTGACCAACCCACGATCAGTTCTTGTCCTGTACTCAAGTGCTTCGAACATTGCTTGAAAAACGACGCAGGTGTGCTTCGAAACTCGTTGTCCCTCTCATCTTGGGATACTTCATCTCCATCTTCGCCTTGAACTGCTAGGTGGGCCTCCCTGTTTAAAGGATGTGCGAGTCCTCTGAATGCGAAGTTGAGTTTTCATCGAATCTACGAATACGAAATGACCGTGCCTGGTCAACGGCGTATGCCTGTGAGGGTCAGATAGACGGGGCCGCGATCTTCATCCGCTGAATGGACTTGTTTGGTGGTGGCCCCGGGATGGTGAAGCTCGTAATGAGCCGGTGCCTTTACGCCGAAACTCCGACCACTTGAGTTAGGTCTCCTATGAAAGCCTTGCGACGTGATGTCGAGCAAGATTTTGGAGGGAGGGAACTTGAGGGCAGACGGGCCAGAGGCGGGATCGGTGGTCCAAGGGATACTGGAAACGTGCGCGCAGTGAAGCGAAGAGACCGTCTTCTTCAGCCTCAACAAGCACAAACGGTGACGGGTGTCGGATTCGGCGACTTCACGGGTGATCTGCGTTTGTCCCAAGCGGAGCAGCTTGACTTGTCGTTGAGCTTGACAACAGGAAATGGCTGTGCGGGAACGACAGGATTGATTGACGGGCATTTCCTACAGCACAGTCCAGGCGAAAGAGGGCGACGGAGAAGGCCTTGAACATGGAAGAGAGAGTCCCGCGTTACTGAGTGCTCTGCAAACCGCGTGAAGCCAAATGAGACCGTGGACGAACCTAAGTGATGTGCACTTACGAGAGTCACTCGGTCGAAGGAGAGCGCCGAGCCATACCTGAGTCACACATTCACTTTCTCATTCCTTGAGAGAGGGTCGCGGTCTCCATCAAGGTGGACTGCAGTCGAAGAAGAATGCGAGGAAATCGGTCTGCATGATTGCAGGGGAGAGCAAAGAAGCCTGAAGAAGGATGAGAGGGAGTTCTAGAGCTCGCAAAACGGGGCAGGAAACAAAGGACTCGCCACTGGCCCACTGCTGCCTCTTGGGTATCTGATCGCCTCTGCGCTAGGGACAGCTCACTGACTACTACAGCCGGATAAATCTCAGACGTTGGATGTGTCACCAGTCGCGTGGACCCCAAGGTGCGTCGATCGTCGAAGCTGAAGCTGTTCTTTGGCGATGCATCTCATTGACGGTCATTGACGACGGTGCCGGGCAGAGGATCAATAGTAACAGACCTTGTGACGGGTGTGACTACGCTGTTCACATACTTGTCGGTATATATTCCATTACCCCAGCTAGAAATCTGCCAATCAAGTCCCCCGACGTCTGGTCCAAATGTTTCGACGAGAACGTATATGATTTGAAGGAACGTATTAGACAAATCGTTCGCGTCGAGCGAAACAACCAAGTAGTACACAAAGAAGATAAAGAAGGGAACCCGCGAAGTACGAAGCAGTGAAGTGGAGAAAGACAGAGTTGTTAGAAGCAGCGGCAAAGTCCCCAAAAGTGATAGGACAGGGAACAAGGGTATTGTGAGAGAAAGGAGACACTAGCGATACACTGGATTCTGGGGCAGCTATAAAGACTGTTACAAGTGCAATAACGGAGGGGGAGAGAAGGTGAAGATGTCAGTGGGACGAAAATAGAGAACGGCTTCGATGGCGAATAATCAGGGCAGGCCGATTTGGTGGCGCGTAACCGACTTTAAACACGGAGAGGAACGAGTGCGTCTGGTGTTATGATCCCCGCCCTCAGATGCAGTAACGCAAGCGGCAGCCACGTTCTTCGACCTCCGGAGACGCATGCTGTGCACAAGATGAGCGACGAGAGCAATGAAAACCTCGACCGGACACCCACCGTTGCATCAACATCGTCGATAGTACGGGCCGCCACATTGACCGGCGCAGCGCACACCGTGTTCGCTGGACAAGCGATCAGCTATAATATACTCACATCTGGAACGATCAGAGCTCACCGAGAACACCGGCCAGGAGATATACAAATGCGAGCTTCAAGGTGAATTGCATTGGAAGATGAGTCGTATCAAACGAGGGTGGGCGCGATTAGACGAGTCGCGAGCAGACTTCACACTGCAGGTAGAGTGGGGAGGGAGATCGATAGGCGGCGAGCGATGTAAACGAAGCGTGAGGGCCTGTCAAAGGGCTTGGGCATCGCCCAGCTTATAAGTGCGAGCAGCTTGTGTTAATTAAAGACCACGGGAAGGAGGGAGACAACAGGCCTGATCCCGAGCTCGACTCTGCAGTGCCTCATCCCCAATGCGGACGTTTGTTTGTGGGTCCGCCGCAGTGCCGGACCGCATGTCCCGATTGGGATGAAGATGAGCCTGGATGCAATCACGCGCCGTTGTTCTCCTTCAGGTGGCTCGTTTGTGGCACCCGTCGACGTGGCTCAGCGTGTGCTTCGGCCACCGAGCGCTCCGCAACGTGTGTACGATTTGCTGTGGCAAGCCCAAGCGCTCGGTCTGATTTAAGCCTTCACTGTGAGAGCGCTGTGCCCGACTAGTCTCTGCGCAGACGCACAGGTATCCGGCTCCCACTGATCTCCTCGGACATACTTTCGGTGGAAATTCCGGCTCATAGATTACCTAGTCTGATCATTTACAGGATGTAGTCATCGATCCTGCGGGTATTCTGAGACGTAGATCACAGGTTACGGCACGAGAATGCTCTCTCGTGATCTCCATGAAGAAATCACGGTTCAGAAATTCAACGGTGGACCGTTCTAATCTATGGTCAAGTATCACAATCTCCAAGAGCTCCTTGATTTTTTGGTGTCCACTGGTTACGGTATCACCACATGATACGGAAAACCTTCAGCCCTGCATAGTCCACAAGCAGTGTTTCATTTCTCTCAAACTTGATCGGGGATGGCTTCTTCGTTTTCATGTCATTTCCCTACGAGCGCTTCCCTTGTCTGCAAGGCAGTTCCTATGCGGCGAGATGAACGACTACGCTACAACATAATCATCATTTATTTGCTCAATTTCATAGTGGCAGTCGGTAGGACAGGTTACAGAACATGAATTTGGGTCATACAAGAGCAGGTTCAAAGCGGATCAAGGCAGGAGGAGTCGATACTGTAAACACATATTGCGCAGAATGAGGCTTGGGTTATTTGATCACTGTTGCCATGCCATCGACGCGTTCCTTGGAAAGAAACAGAATAACACTCACAGAAAAGAACATCTTAAACTTCTGGTTCGAATGCAACGGCCGGAAGTCAGCCTTGAGCGTTTCGAGCATCTTGGAAGCATCCGTTGTGTTCGTGTACGCGGACTCGTCCCGGACCTTGCTGGGGTCGTAGTGGATCTTGGCTCTGGCGCAAACCGTGTCGGCGTCTGAAAGTGGTGCAGTGAGATCGGAATCAAAGAAAAGAATAGACCGTCAACGCACAGTACACTGGTGCAGGGATGGAAACGGAACGCGTCGACTTGGCATAGACGTGGCAGAGAGCGAAGGAGATCATTTGCATGGTGTCCGCACTGTATGAGATAAGTTTTCAGAGCGCAAGAATGAAGAGCCACACACTTGAGCTTGTTCTCGTCGTACAGCACCGAGTAATGTGCCGGCCGACTGGTTCCAAGCAGCCCCGCGTGACTGAGAAGGAAAAAGTCAAATTCGACGGGGTTCACGAGCTCCTGGTCAAGAACGGTGCCAGCTGGGAGGTTTCCAGATCGGTCTGCATCTCTGTCGTTCGTAGGGAACAGTCGCACGTGGTGTCGTTTACCAACCACAACGAGTGTAATAGAAGGTTTGATGCCAAGAGCCGCACACCCGGCTGTGAATGGGAATTTTAGAAATGTAGACAAAAGACAGTCGGCACATACCTTTGATTTGGGGCAGCTCAACATCCAGCACCTGCTGGAACTGGCCTTCGGAAACGCCGTCCCGATACACAATCAGCCGTTTCGGTGCCTTGCTCTGGGGCGCAACCTTCTCCACCCGTTCCCGATACAGCATGTATTTTTCGAGCAGCTCAGTGACCATCCGGTCCAGCCCATCAATCAGCTCTTTCCTCGACTCCTGAACACCTTGCACAGCAACGTACTTGGCCGCATTCGAGTCAACACTGGACACAGCCGCAGTAAACGACGGCCGGTCCGTACTTCCCGGGGCGGGGTGCATGACATCAAAGCCGATGACGGCGGTCGGGTTGCGCGGGTCAGACAGAAACGCGCTGGCAGCGGGATCCGGTATCACATTGATTCCGTCCATCTTGACGTTGATCTTGAGTGCGACATTTGCCCAGTACTGGATCTTAGCATAGCGACATTTAGAAGACTTGAGACATTGCGTCGGGATGCCTTGCTGCAAGTGGACCTCGTTAGCTGGGGCGAATTGTATGATCAGTTGTTCGACATACTAGAACATCGCCCCAGCTGCAGACTACTTGAGTCATCGAATAGAGCACGTTTCGTTTCGCACACTCACTGTTTTACGGTCGTGTATATGTCGTTCCCAAAATCGGGTAAAATAACCACAAACAAAGTGGGTGGCGCCTTGAATTGATCGAAACATTTTTTCCCTGCCTCTCTCAAAAGCTGTGGACGATCAGCCCGCAGGAAATGATCAGATGACGTCGAGTAAGCAGACCTGGGGGATGTCGCCTTGTGGATTGACCATCTGTTGCCATGGCTTCTTATGCTGCATTTTGATTCCTGTTAATTGTCAATGAGATCGCAGCAACCTGATTTTGAGAGAGACTCCGACCTGTACTTTCGCAGCCTCCAACAAAGCCCTCTGCGATAGCGTCGAGAGCAGCACCTCCCACACGAGAGTCGCAGGATACTAACACCCAGGGCCCGATCGAAGTCGGTCGATAAAGCTTTTTTTCCATCCTATAAACTCAACTGTAAGCAAACGCGATAGTTTAGAGACAAAACGAACATGTTCCAGGCGCCATTCCTTGGTTCCTATGTAAAGTGAGCGACGGTTGGGACATGCACGTAGGTACACAGCTTACCACATTCTTTTGCTTGCTGCCCGGGCCGTATTGAAGGACAGGGGGTTTGAGAACCCGGGCTTGGACGGTCGACTCGGACGGAGCGACGGTGAGTCCGAACTTGCGGACATATTCCGATTGGCCATATGCCAGAACCTAGGGGGATTATCGGGTGTATGATGCGAAATTACATGGACAGACGGACAGACGGACCTGGAAGCCCTGTCTGATAGCGTTCAATCTGTCCATCGGTTGGGGACTAGAGAACTCGACCAAACTCTTGCGCATCGTTTCCGGTAATTCCTTGCGCATCTGCTGGCCAGGGATGACAGTGCAGAGTTCGAGTGGAATCAAGGCACCTTGCCCGATCTGACAAAATGGCGTCAGAACTCAGAAACCAGCTGAACGAACAACGCACCTCGACGCAGAGCATCTGCGGATTCGCCAACCTCTGACGGGACACCTCGTAGAAGTATTGGGCAACAGTCTTCGTCTGACCGTCACGCATCTGGAACGTGAGTTCGTTCGCGCCCTTCTGGCTCAGCTTGCGAATGACGCGTGCCCGGCGAGCGTTCGATCCGGCATCCTTCGTCTCTACCCGGACTCCAGCAAGGAACCGGCCTAGACGCAGACGCGTGCGATCGTCCAGCCCTCGACTGGTCAGCAGCTGCGCTGGGTTGCTTCGTGGCTGATCGAGGAATTCAAGGCAGAGCCCGATCAGCGGTCCGGGCTTGTACATTACTCCAGTAGAGATGTCGACATTGATGACCATGCGCCCGACAACGGGCCGGATCGACTGGAAGTACCCGCGCCACATCTCGAGGCCGCCACCGAGCGGTCTAGTGTTCTTGTCCGTAAAGAAGGAGCGGCCTTTGGTCGGATACCGCTGGGAGGGCTCCATTCGAATCGCCACGTTCAGAGCCTAACCATACGTCAGATCATCCGCAGCCCGTCGAGCGTGTGAACGCACCGTGAGGGCTGTGCTAACGGTGTTATCAGCGGATTGCTTTCCCTGGATGTATCGATGAAGGACTCTGCAATGATGTGAGCTACTGAGTTCACTGTATCGCAAACGCAGAAAAACACACTCGGTGTTAATTGTCGCGACATGCGCGATGCGCACTTTGATGATCTTGGGGGGACGTCCTGGTGACCCAGCACCCTCAAGTGCGACGTCAAACTAGATCGGAAAGTTCAGCAAATGAAAGCGCGTGTATGATTGTGCGACGGGTTGGAACGAGGCATACCTCTCGCGAAGCTGCTGCTCCGCCAAAGTTGAGCGGCACGGGCGTGAACATGTTCTTCTGCCCGTCGAATACCGCGCGCGTCTCCGCAAAAACAGTCGGTGCAGTGCTGTTCTGAAGCGTCCGGATGATCTCCATGTTGAAGGAGCGTGGGAGGACCTTGTCGCCTGCGATGACTAGGTAGGAATTTCGTGCGTGAGCCCATGAGCGAACCAAGTCGCAAAAGAATACCTACCGACGTCGTAATGGTGGATCGAGCCCTCGGGGATATCCACCTTGAACAAATTCGTTGCGATGTTGATTGGGCGTCCGCTCTTGCCATAGTCAGGGCGCCGAGCGCCAACTGTAGTGATATGGGCGGCTGTGGCAAAGCAGTCAGAGGTAGATCGACGCGATCCAAGAGGTGACGGAGAGGTACCTGGAGCTTGGAAGGGCGCCGAAGGGCCCGGTGCTGCACCACCACCGCGTGGTCCTCCTCGTCCACCGCGTGACCCTCCACCGCGCGCTCCTCGACCGCGACCGCTGGGTTGCATGATCTGGTCAGTGAAAGATCGAACGAGTTGCGATGATTCTAGTCTCTCGTGACAGAGGAACAAGCGAAACGCTGGTTAGTGTGAAGTGGTTGTTTGTGAAGAGAAGTTGAAAGCACGTGCGATGGTGGACGTGGTTTTATGATGCGGTGGCTGTGCGATAGGTGAATGCCTCTTGTTTTGGAGGCGTTCCAGAATGAGTTATCGAACACTGACCACCTCGGCGAGTCCCCGCCTGCGCGAATCACAAGGAATCAAGGACTTCTCGCTCATGCGGTATACATCAAGGTGTGTGTGATTACGCGGGCTACGGTGATGTTCAATTTACACGATTATGCTTTACCAGCGAGACCGTCACGAATGCCTCCGTTCGTGCTTGAGATTGCGCGACTGATAACAAATATCAGCGCAATTGTGAGCAGCACCCTGTGAAGATTGAATGCTCGTGACTATGGAGGCTCGGAGCATCGCGCTTTTAACCGAGTGTCGGACATCATGTCCGAATGATTGATTGTTGATCCGACATATTTGGTGGGACCCCAAAGAGACTAAGACGCCGTACGGCGTACCCGTCGTGTGTCGCAATAATTTTCGGACTCGTCTACTGTACAGAACAAGTAAATGTATCAAATCTTTGCGTCCTCATCATATACCTGGAACGGCAACATTCCAAATGCGCGGCAGTACACGTTGCACTTGTGCTCGTCTTCGAATCTGTCAAAGATAGCGGGAATGTTTCCGCCGCCAAACACATCTTCGTCCGTCAGCGTGCTGTGAGAATGTGTAAGGGGGATCACAACCAGTCAGGCCGCACTTACGAGGAGGTCATGATCTGTGCATCTGTCAAGAGGGTCGATGATCCTGTGAGCTCGTTCAGGGATAGATAGATATGGATCTGCCAACGACGCACCTTGGAGATCTGAAAGAATTACCAGCCCTCCCGACTTGGCGTACTGGAAGTGCTGAGTAAAACAAAGGAATTCCGCAATGTAGAAATCGGGATCTTGGGGTGCAAGGGCAGGAACCGCTTCGCCGTTGTGAACAAATTTCTTGAACTTCTCTCCAGGCAATGTGGAGATGTACTCCTCGAGCAGGTATGATTTTGCCAACGTAGTCGCACTCACAACGCTGCCACCTGCAACCGGTTTGTGCACAAGTGCCAGAGCGGCATCGACGAAACGGAGAGTGGGAATGCGCAAGTCTGATGGGATCTCCGCCGCAAAGTTGCGGACCCGATGTGTCACATAAGACAGCGCAGCATTGAACAGCCCATACGACCACAGGAGGAGGTTGGCCTCACGCATAATCTCTGTGTACTCATCGCGGGGTTGCAAACGAGTGAGAGTGCCTCGCCGTACTAGACCTTTGTTGGTGAACATACGCTTCACGGCAACTTTCTGATTGGCCACGAAGCCCAAACCCGAGTCCGACATTCTGTTCAGGGTCAGCCAACCCAGATACGCGTCCTTGAAGCTGCCAACGCCAAGACGATTCGTGAGATCTGTTGTAAGAGATCCTAGTTTTGCCTCTGCGAAGTCGCACACAAAATAACGAGCAACTGAGCCTTCCTCGTCACTCCCACTCCCGAGAAGCTCCTTGAGCGAAAGGAGCGGGATCTGGAAAATGTGGACCGACTCAGTTACCGGGAGTCCTAGAAGTCAAAAGTGATGATCTTCAGTAGAAATTCAAATAATAGAAATTAACATCATACGGGACGCATTGATAACGGCCTGTCCAGACCCGCCCGCAACCAAAGCCTCTCGGAAACGATGCTGGTCTGGAGACTCATGGTCAGGAAGAACCCGTTTGAGGCTTCGCGGCGGCGTTTTTGGCCCTCTTTTGGTGCTTGAAGTCGACGCACAGTCTTGGATCTAGGGACAATTATATCGACAGGATAGCACAACAGTGAGCAAAAATCACTTACGTCTGTGCCAAAAGAGGCAGGAACAAGCGGTCGAACAGTTGACTCCTGGGTATGATGATCATAAAAGCTAGTAATTGAATTTACAGATCTTGAACTGGAACTGGAGAGTTCCAGTTCGTCCTCTGTTCCCAGAGCCGCGGTGCGCTTTAACTTCGAATTCGAGTCCTTATTCTTGCTGGGGCGAATCCGGCTCATCTTGCGGCGAGAAACTTGATATCCACTCGCATTCAAAACCTGTGTGTTATCAGTCAACGTGCAGTGGAGCAATAAAAATATAGCAGACTTCGTTGGATCTGTCTGATTTTTCCCCAGGGGTATTCTCGATTATGAGGTCGCTTTCTTGTAAGAGTTGCTGGTAATCCATTTTAGCTTGGTGCAGACAGATCAGGAAAGAGCACTCACCTTATTGAGCCAAGTCTCGTAACGCTCGTATTCATCATATGGGATAACGAGTGCAATGAGAGGCGCCTTCCGTGGCTTACTGAAGTTCAGGGATAGCTCCTTCCCCTTCGCTTTTGACGACTTGTAGCAGAGATGTTCCAGTACACGAGATTCAGGAGGCTCCTGTTGGAGGTTTACCCATGACATATCTCGAATGACCAATTTGGACTGATCAAACGTGTGGCGGAAGCGTCTTGAACGAGTTCCGTCACACGGGAAATTGAGTCGTCAATCCAAGAGAGACAGGGATCAGCTCTAAATTGACTGTCTTACTGTATCTACCATCTAACTATTTATACTACGATCAATGTACTTACACAAATAACTATCCACAACTGATCATCAGTAAGCGGGATGAGGTAATGCTACATCTAGGGGATGTATCCGTCACATACGCCCTCCAGCTCGACGCAGCGGCGAGCTTACTCCATCGCCTCGTCTCCCTCCGCCCCCGCCGCTCTCTGCGCGGCCAACCGATTCGCTTTCGCTTCCTCAATGCGCTGGCGACGCTTCGCGATCATTGTTCCACCGTTCACGCCCGTGGCGTAGTCTTCGGTGGACTGGGGGATGTTCTTCTCTGCCAGACGGCGCTCTCGGGCCTTGCGAATAGCACGGTCACGCCCAATCACCGCTTCTCGGCCTTCTTCGTATTCGGCAATCGAAATGGTGATCATTCCCGGTGCCACGCGTTCGGACAGGTACTCATCCGAGCACAGACCGTCGTGGACCGAAGGGACGTAGCTTTCCGCGAAAATAATCTCTCCTTGTTCTCCCACCGATGCAAACGACCAGCTTTTGTTGTCGTAGGTGTTGCACGCCGCTCCGAGTTCCAGGATGCCGACCGGTCCACGCCCGTAGACGGTCCCATCGAAGTCGGGGTCGTTCACAGCCTCATTCCAAAGCAGACACTGCTTGAATTGGTGGGCCGTGAGGACGACGTCGCCCTCGTTCAGGTGGACCACGAGGAAGCTCGGAGTCACCCAGGTAAGGGTCCCCTTGTGCTTGGAGTTGAACTCGATATGAGCGGAGGTAAGTGGTTCGTTGGCCGCCGACTGCCCAGTAATGACGTTTCCGGCGTAGTCGTTCGAAGTGGAACCTGAAGGCATGGCGGGCGGTGGTTCTCGGGAGGGGGAGAATAGGCAAAGTGCGTTCAGCTCCTTTCCCTTCTCGCCCTCCGTATTTGTTTCGATCGGGATAACCCCTGAGCCCAGAAAACCCACACACCCGGCTTGCAGCTCGATCGGTGGGCTTTCCTTGGCCCCCTTCAGCAGCTGAGATATGTCCGATATCCCCAGGGTATCGAAATAGTCTGGGAGCGCGTTTAGTCGACTCACATGTTGGTAAGGCATCCACGTAAAATCTCCCGATTTCCATTTCACCTCAAATAGTGCTCTTCGGCGGCTCCCCGAGTGCCCTACAATACGTTCCACTGCCCACTCGGAGTCAGTGGCAGCGTCGGCAACATTCAGCTGGCTTTCCAAGCGCCCAGGGAACCGGCGGTCATCGTTAGGTACGTGAACCCGCAGCAAGGACGCATGGAACACGTCATGAACACCCCTCTGCACCAGATTAGGGGGCAATTCCACGCGGAACGACGAGTTCCCAAAATCCTGCAAGATCCGGTAAGGCCCGATGAATTTCGGCAATAGTTTCCGGGCGAGTCCTTTCTCGAAGTGGATATTCTTGGTGCTTAGATACACCAGGTCGTCCTTCTGAAACGGCGCAGGTATCCGCTTACGATTAGCCGTCCGAATCTGCTTGACACGCGAAGCCAGGATCGCGTCGTGGGCTGCCATAATTGCCAACCGGCGCTGCATGAGGAATGCGGCGATCCCCGGAAATTCCTTTGTCCTCTCCGAGCTCCACAACAGAGACCGGGGCATTATACCCGTGCTCAAGAAGAATGGAGAATAGCCCGTGGTCTCAGAACGGGCCGTATTCATTGCAAATTCCACAGCAGGTAATCTGCTCACCCAATCCTTCTGTTTATTGCTCACGCATTGACGCAGAAGTTGCGTCACAGTTCGGTTTGCCCGTTCCGTCGCCCCATCTGTCTCCGGATGATAGGCGCTGGACATCTTCAGGTGCGTCCCGATCAACTCGTGGAGCCGTTGCCAGAACGTGCTGGTGAATAATACGTCTCGGTCACTGACTATTACGTTAGGCAACCCGTGGTGCTTATACACATGCTCGAACATGAGCTCGGCGAACTGCCTTGCGGTATAGTCCACTCGACAGGGCACCAAATGCACCATTCCGGTAAGATGACATACCACCACCGCAATTGAATTGAAAACGCTATCTCGATTCTTTGAATTGGGCAATGGTCCCACGAAATCGACGCCTATGGATTCCCAGGGCCTCTGGGGGGTAGATAGTGGGTTGAGAAGTCCGTACGGTGCGTGGTTATTTGGCTTACTGTGCTTGCAAGTCATGCACGAGTCACAATAAACTTTCACATCATCAACGAGGGTTTTCCACCAGACGTTCTCTCGCAGGTAATCCACCGTTTTTCGGGCACCCAAGTGAGCTAATACAGAGTGAGCTTCTGATATCACTAACTCACGCAGCGATCGTCCATTGTATTCCAGGTGTGGGATACACAGCACCTTGTGCTCCTTTTCCTTCATGTATACCAATCCGTCGGTTACTTCAAAGTTTTTGTATTCCTTTGGTCGTTCAACAATGGTTTTGAAGAACTTGTCCTCTTGGAAACGGTTGCGAATGAAGCCCACCAGATCGAGGCCATCGATGCCTTGGCTTATTACTGGAATCAGTGATGGGTCGTAATTAACGGGTTCGGTACCCGAAGTCCGATCAGCGGAATCAGAGTGGCTTTCAGTCGGCTGTAACTCGCCCTCCCGTTTCTTGTCTTCCTTTGCCCGCTCTTTCTGTTGTTCGACTTGGTACTCCCCGCCCTCCTTTTCGCCTACTGGGGCGGAAACTTTTCCCGTTTGCTCGTCCCCGACGTCCAGCATCCCTCGCCGGCCTGCCTGAGCCTCGCTTGTCAGTTCTTTCGACGCTGCCGTGGCTGCGCGCGACATTGATCTCAGCACTCGGTCTGACGTTACAGCCATCGCCTCCATGCCCGAAAGAACAGGCATAGTTATCCCGTGGCCGGCCAGTACGTCGTTGTCTATCACGTCGTGATACGTGTACTCTGACCGCGCCCGTACAGTACCCGGCGTTTCGTTCGAGTATATGCGTGACAGCGCGTCCGCAAGGACATTATCGGGCCCCGGCACGTACTCAACTTCAAAGTCGAAGCAAGATATCTTCTCCACCCAACGAGCCTGGCGCCCGGATAGATTTGGCTGGCTCAGCAGGTGCGTGAGCCCCTTGTGGTCTGTCACCCACTTGAAGCGACAACCTTGCAGGATGTCCCGGTGCCGTAGCATCGACTCCACCCCGGCCAACATCTCAATTTCATGGACGGGATAATTCTGCTGGGCCGAATTCAATTTGGCCGAATAAAATGCGGCGACCCTGGCGCTCCTCCACTCTGGGCCTTGGCAGACCACACCTGAGACCCCCGTTGCGCAGCCATCGGTTACCAGGAAGATGGGATCTGCGTCTGGGCCGTAATTTAGCGGAACCCTGTGGTGGTCTCTAAGGTTCGTTACTATGCGCTTGATGTCTTCAATTGGCTCCTGATCGCCGGCGGAGCAGCTGGCGTCTTCACTTACGTACCCCTCGGGCCAGAGTTGTGATTCGACGTCCGAATCACCGGATGGTGGCTCCCGGATCTCAAACGGGAGCATGCTAGACACCTGAAGTGTTTCGAACACTTCTGTCGTTTCTCCCAATGAGGCTAGGCGCAGGCTCACGCCGTGGGTTCCAAAACCCGGCGGTTTGCCTTTCTGCTTTGACTTCATCGTGGTCAGCTTTGGGCAGCTGCGGGCCATGTGCCCGCTTTCTTCACAGTTCAGACATAACCCACGGGTCATTAGATCGGCCCGCTTCTGAGGCGATAGACGACGCTCCCAAGGGCGATCGGTTGTGCCGACCTGATTCCTGCCCGGCCCAGAAGTCGGGCCAGCGGTGGGGGCTGGGCGATTTTCGGGCCTAGGTCCAGTTCCCCGAGGTGGTACCACCGTGGTTGCCGCTGTCTTAATCACTCCTCCACCCATAGTGCTAGGATTTAGTCAAATCTATGGCTGTAGCCATAAAAATTGCATTCAAATCTATGGCTGTAGCCATAGCATGGATACAGTCATAGCTTTGACTAATACTGCTATGGCTACAGCCATAGCGTGGCAGGCCTTTGGTCCTGTTGCTTTTCTCGGCATCACCATGGCATGTGCAAGATCATCATTGCCATCAGCACCACCATGATCCCTCAACATAAAGTGTTGATCGGCCTTACTGTCTTCAACAAGCCGCGCCCCTCTGGGCGCGGAGGTTAGTGGTTCAGGCTAGGGTTTGGGTTTGGGTTAAAGGTTAGTCCCCAGAGACGTCATTTTTTCTCAGTTATGGCTGGGGCAAGGTAGCAAAAAAAAAGCCTATTACAGGCTCTGTAAGGGTTGGTTAGCGTAAGAAATATATTTATTGTCAGTTAGGGTTGGGGCAAGGGAGCAAAAAAAAAATCCTGTTAGAGGCCTATTAGGGTTGGTTGGGGCAAGAAATATGTTTATTGGGTGATAAGGGGTTGGTAGAACCAGTACTAGGATAAAGCTTTCCCTCCACTTAGGGTAAGCCGCTTGCGGGTTACCCTAAGTTGAGGGAAATTGCCACATGTTTAACAGCAGTTTAGCTCAGTATGATAATGCATTGGTTTAACTTACATTTTTAGAAGGTCAGCCGTTCAATCCTCACTGAAACCACTGCCTAGCTGTTGGGTGTCAATCACAATCACAGGTTGTCGATCATAATGATCGTTGTTCACATCAGCACCGCCACGCCCTATGGCTACAGCCATAGATTTGAATGCAATTTCTATGGCTACAGCCAAACGGATTTGACTAAATCCTAGGGCTATGGCTCACTCCTCCCTGTTTCCGCGGGAAGAATCTCCTCTTTCTTTCGTCGCGGTCCAACCCAGACTTGCCTGGGCCCGTGCTTGCCCCGGCTGTTGTTGTGTCTCTCCCTTTACGTCGCTTGTCCAGGTTGAGGAAGCGCTCGGCTCGGATAGCCTTCTTGACTACCCGCTTCCACCTCGACTTCTCTGGATCAAGACCGAATCGGAACAATTCTTCTTGAATGTCCGCGTCAAAGCTGTTCCAAAGCAACGCAACACGCTCCCGATCTTTCTTCAATCCGATTTGAAGTAATATGCTTTCGAGTTCCAGTACGTGTTTATTTACTGACTTCCCGTTCTGGTGACAACGATTCAGCCTCTTACGCTGCTTCTGGCGGTAGTCCAGCGAGAAACAATACTTCAGTAACCGTTGCAGCATCTTCTTAAGCGTCCATTTGTGTTCCTGACCACGAATTCGTCGATTATAGAAGTCTTTGGCGTCGCCGTCCAGAAACGATCCGACTATTGGCACTCGATGGGCCTTTGGTACGTTCCCCAATTCACAGTATCTATTCGACTCATCCACGAACTGGGTATACAGGTCGGCGTTCTCAGATCCGTCGTAGCGAGCAGGGGGGTTAGGCTTAACCAACATCTTTCCCCTGGCTTGCTTGCTCGACTTCTTTTTCTTCTTGGATGGCTTCTTCTTGGAGCGAGGGCCGCTAGAATCAGAGTCAGAGCTCTCCGAATCCGAGCTCGAATCCGAAGACCCGTATTCTGATCCTGATTCACCAGATGAACTATCAGTGGGTTCTCCCTCCGAGTCCGAGTCTCCAGAGGAAGGGTCAGGGCTGGACCCGCTATCCTCAGATGGCTGAAGGCTTACTCCTCGCAGCACGCTCGTTACAAAGCCATTGGGCTTCGTCTTCGAGGGCGACCACTTTTTAACGATCTTCGGGTGAAGGAGAGTGGATATTTCGGCGCTGGCCCGACGCAAGTTTTCTACCGGGCTCGCTGCCGGTCGAGATGCCCTCCTCAAGCTCTCTCGTTCCTCCAGCTCAGCCAGCCTTTCCCTCATTCGCTTGAATTCGCGCATGAACACGCCCTGGTCTCTGGCGACCGCTCCCATCTCCTCGCCCTTCACGGAAGTTGTATCTCTGGGCAAGGGGGCACTACCACCCAGTGGGTGTCCTCTCTCAACCGGAGTCACCACCGGGCTTCGTCTGTGCTTCCCTTCACGGGCTAATTCGAATGCTTTCCAGGCATCTCTCTGATATTCCAGCTCGCTTTCGGATATGTTTATTCCGCCCCAGTTGCCGGGGTCAGGGCCCTTTCCCTTATCTCGGGAGGGACCGGCCAACGGATTTTCCGGTTCCTGAGTCTCCTCCGACCACTCAGCTTCTCCCAGGTGGTAGGGGTGTCCATCCGAGCCCTCTGGCTCGCTCTCGGGGCTGTCATCGGGCCCCGGTTCGGTGTCCAATTTTTCCGCTGCTCCACCGATCGCTTCTGACTCATCCTTAGACTCAGGAGTAGTGTCGGTCGGGGATTCCGGTCTCAGGGCTGGGGTCCTTTGTTCCACAGCGCTGGCCAAGCTGGCATATCTGTCGGCTATGAGCCGTAGCACCTCAGGCGACATCAAAGCTGCAGCTTCGTCCACAATGGAGGTTATTTCCTCTAATTGTCCACGCGCCTGGTCTACTTCTACGCTGACCCTATCAGCAGGGCTCGATTTACGGCTACTAATCGACTCCCGATGGGTACGGGTCGTTCGTCCGGTTGCCACCGTCCACGGCCCATCCTTGTCCTCCGCGGCCTCCACTTGGAGGTGGGTACGGGCGTCCGTCCCCTGGGGGAGTTTCTCCGTGTATACACGGGCTGGCCGTTCCCCCTGGTTAGGGGTACTGGCGATGTCTCCGCCGACGGTCATGGACGCGTCGACGGGCTTAGGAAGGGTGGCCGGGGCCGGGGACACGACGCGGGCATAGGTGCGCTCCGGCGTCATGGGGCGCTCCTCTGTTCCAGGAGGCTGCGAAGTGAGCTCCTCGGTGGTCATCGCAACGCCGCGAGAGTTTCGGCGACGGAGGACTCGGTCGGGGAGCGTTTGGGTGGTTTGGGTTGGGTGTTGCATGGTATCAACGGGGTTGGTTTGTTATGGTTGGTGAGTCTTCGTCAGAGTCGGCGAGCACGGGAGATCAATCCGTAAGGGCCAGAGCAGAGCGAAGATTTGTTTAGCTAGTTCTGTCAAAAATATGTGGCGGAAGCGTCTTGAACGAGTTCCGTCACACGGGGAATTGAGTCGTCAATCCAAGAGAGACAGGGATCAGCTCTAAATTGACTGTCTTACTGTATCTACCATCTAACTATTTATACTACGATCAATGTACTTACACAAATAACTATCCACAACTGATCATGAGTAAGCGGGATGAGGTAATGCTACATCTAGGGGATGTATCCGTCACAAAACGTGAATGGTGCAGCCGCTTTGATGAGCAAGGGTAAGACCGTCGAAATTGTCAAATCGACAAGTGTGCTGGCCGTCACTGAAGCTGGCACGAGGAGGCCCTCGCTAATGAGCTGAGAAATAAATTAGTCAGGAAAGAGTCAAAGCGGTGGAGGAACAACAGACCTTGAATTGTTCTCCGTCATTTTTCCCAGGAACTTCGTACCGAGCTTGAACAAGGATATTGATCGTGTTCAGGTTGACGCCCGATGCTGCACTCCGGCCCATGAGAGCCCTGAACTGATGGTAGCTGTTGTGATTTCTGGAGTAGCCCTGCATGTTTGCTATTGAATTGAGCGAGAGAGACAGTGAAGAGGATCGAAAGCTCTGTGCGCCTGGTCAATTTTGGTCAGCGCCATTTAAATCAGCGAGAATTTAATATCATCATTACCTCCACTGGGAATATAATTCGGTGGTCCCATGGATCCCGGAGCGGCCGCTACGGGTTGTGAAACAGCAACTACACGTCGCTGGTCATGTGAAACATCTGCTGAACTGAATGAGAACGCGCAGCATCCAAGTAATATGCAAGTAACAGCGAGCGAGCTTACCTCCAGTTCGAGCATGGATATTCTGTTGACGTATGGCTTCAGCTTGCTGGTTGAGATTGGATGTTGAAGCCGCACGACCTAGTTAAAAGTTAGTCATAATATATTGTAGAAAATTCAGTGAACAGACGGGTCATAGTGCTTGATTTGCGAATGTAGTACTCGAAGCAAGGTCGGCATACTTTCCGGCTCCCAAGAGCCGAATTCTGGTTCCCGATAATCTCAGTCGCAAAACCCAAGCAGCCGTTCTGTGGGCCACGTTTGCTCTCGCAAGGGTGCGGAGTCTGACTTTCGTCGGTGAAGAGGGCAAGAGGAAAATCTTGTTGGGCCATCGCAAGATACAGTGTTCGAGTGCCCTTAGAGAGAGTTTGAACCACTTTTATACTTTAGATGCCTCAAGTTGAGAGACCCATCCAGGAGCGATCTGGATGGGTACCGACCTATGATTTAGTTGATCGCCGCGACACCATCAATCTAGAAACGGATTCCAGTCCATTCTGGAGTGTGTTTGCTCGGTAAGCTGGTCCTTTCCTCTTCGAGAATGACCTTGGTTCACTGGCGAAAGTTTATTTAATTAAATCCAGCCCGCTCTGTGGGACAACAAGAGGCCGAGCACAAGTATATAAACGCTCAGTGTCAACTGTAAACTACATCTCTAATCAACCTAACGCAATATGGGTAGAAACCAACACAAACCAAACCGTATGTCAATTATCAGCGCTAACGAGCTTGATTTAAATAAACAATTCCAGCCCCGCCCGAGGAATTAAAGCCTCATATTCAACTGTATTGGAACATGCGTATGACTGATCAACAGATTCTCGACCAACTCCATGCACGCCACATTGACCACTCCGAACATGGACTCAAGTGCGTATTCATTCTGTTAGAGAGTGTGATGCTCAAGGTTGTCACAGACTCACTGGGTTTCGAAAAATCCGCAAGGAGTTGGGCTTCATGGGTACCCGTCAGCAAGGGCACTCCCATGAGTCGATCAAGGATGCAATTATAGATCTGCGACGCTCCTACCCAAATGCTGGCGGCCGGGATATGAAAGATCTACTGTTTTTCGAGAAGGATGGTATGAAGGTTCCACGGTACGCACCGAAAATCTTAATTCCTCCTTCCTGATCTGACATCTGGTGTTCTAGTCGTCTTATCATGGATTTCTTTGCGGTTTATGAGCCCAATCTGGTCCGACGGCGACGTAAAAATTGCCTACGCCGCAAGAAATTCTGGGCAGCAGGACCCAACGACATCTGGGCCGTTGATCAGCACGACAAGTGGAAGAAATTCGGCTTGGCTTTACACACCGGGATCGACCCCTTTATTGGATACAATCATTGGACTCGCATTTGGTGGAACAACAACAACCCTCGGTTGATCTTGAGTTACTACCTCAGCGTTGTTGAGGAACTGGGATGTCGGTCAGTCTCTTTCCGTACTTGAGATACACTTACGCGTCTCTAGTCATGCCACTTGTTTCACAGAGCGATCCTGGCACCGAGAACACGGGATTAGCCAATGGCCATACCATGCTGCGTCACCTCCAAGATCCTGGTCTGCACGGAACGTTACAACACCGATGGATGCGCCAGAAGAAGAATGTGATGCCCGAGATCTCTTGGAGTCAACTTCGTCGACGTTGGACTCCCGGGTACGAGAATCTGCTGGATGTGGGTGTTGAGAATGGCTGGTATGATCCCAAGATCCTGCTGGAAGCGTATGGTACCATCTCTGGATAGATTGGAAAGCTCACATTTCGTTAGGCTAGTCTTCCGATGGGTCTTTATACCCTGGCTACAGAGCGAGCTTGACGCCTATCGGCATCGGATCAACAACACCGCAAAACGTGTTGACCGCAACAAGATTTTACCTCATGGAATCCCAGCGCACATGCTGGCGCACCCAGAGGAATATGCCGCGCTAGATTTCAAGGTGAGCTCGTAGCGGTGCCAGATCACAGACACCCTGACCTGAAATTAGGTTCGAGTCAGCAAAGAAAACATCGAGACAGTCCGTAATCTGTACGCACCGCAAGATCATCCCATCTTTGAGCTTGTCCCTCGAGAATTTGACGAGGTCGCAACTGAGCTTTACGTCGAGATGGGACAGCCGTTAGTCACACGAGACAGCTGCTGGGACATCTACCTTCAGTTGCTCAGTGGATTCCGGAGACTGGATCAGATTCACGCCATCGATGAGGGATTTGATAGCAGATGGAGATATGCATTGGTAATGGCTGAGCACGACTACAAGAACAACGAGATGGAGCTACTGCCTGGGCTCCAGGATTTACATGCCGTAGACGGGTATCTGGGAGGCGTCAACAATGGGCAAGGGATGGGTGTGTACCTCGCTTGGCTTCTCCCATTTTCCGTGCGCTCACTCATCCTGACAGACCCCCACCACCATCAAGCCCTTCGAGCGCTCCTGAACGACATTGAGCCCCAAGTTGATCCCGCGGAAGAGGACGATGGCCCGGAAGAGTACTTCGCTTGGTTTTCGGATGAGGAGGAGGTCGCTGGAGCTGATGAGTGGTAGTACACGACGAGCCGAGTTAGCAATCATCTGTACAGTCAGTCCCCGGGGTCCTCCCTACCTACGTCCGATCAACAATCAATCATTCGGATATGATGTCCGACACTCGGTTAAAAGCGCGATGCTCCGAGCCTCCATACAGAATTCAACTGCCCTTGCCTCCGCCGATCAGCGGATATTGTCAGTCTCGGTATGGAGGGCATGTAGAACTAAATTCAGGCAGAAGAAACTCCCACTACGAACGCTGACATGAATTCATTTCTAGCTTCGGATACTCTCTACCCTCTGCTGGTCATCCAATGCAGCCGGGTCTCTGAGTTGTTCGATCGAGGGCTAGGTGGCTTCGCAGATCGTTATTGATATTGTGTGAGTGAGCTTTCCCTGGTTTCCGAGTCTGCCTTATGGGACGAAATTGTCACCTGCCGCAGACGTGGGCGACAGGCTCTACGTACCGTCACTTCTCGTATTTGACAAATAGATCAAATTGATCATGGGTCGGATACACTCACAACCGCGGCCTGGTTCAACCGTCTGAACAACGAAGTGTAAGGAGGCGGGAGTAGTGACTGCTGGGTGCAGGCGTTCAGAGAGAGTCGTCCGTTTTGCGGGAGTCGGGAGTGGCTCAATTCTGACGACGGGGAGAGGTATTTCAGATGCGCTGCTGTGGGTTAGGGAGGCCGTTCACTGATCTCGGCGCATCCGGGGTAATTTAATGAAAGAGGCTTGAAGACATGACCACGTCCTCGATGGTGTAACGGTAACATAGCTGCCTTTCATTGTAGGTACGCTTAATTGCCGCATTGACATTCGCAGTTGCCCGGGGTTCGATTCCCCGTCGGGGAATTTTTAATAGTGCGGGTAATCAACGATTAATTGCATGAGCCATTGGGCCCTGGCCAGGATTCGCCGTCCCCCGAAGAGCTCCGCTGCTAAGGTCGACGACTGCCAACCCCACTACAGCTACTAAATGTGTCATGGGGGACTAGCTCATCCAGTGCGGCACGTAGGCACATATCCCAATTTTTGATCATTAGAAAAAGAGGTGATCTCTGCGTGGGTGTGTGTCATGCAATTGATCACTCTTTTGTGTGGAAATGTTCAATCGTAGCATGGCATTCCGAGTCCCATTATCGGAGGGTTATCATCTAGTCAGTCCGAGTGACGGGACGGACGATTGCCGCGCTTTGTAGAAGATCAATGTGCCTCGAAAGCACGGGCTGCTGTCTGAAACGGAATCAGTGATATGTAAGCTCGCCGGATCCCAGTGCGTCTGCACAGAGACTAGTTGGGCATAGCGCTCTCACAGTGAAGGCTTAAATCAGACCGAGCGCTTGGGCTTGCCACAGCAAATCGCACACGCGTTGCATAGCGCTCGGTGGCCGAAGCACACGCTGAGCCACGTCGACGGGTGCCACAAACGAGCCACCTGAAGGAGAACAACGGCGCGTGATTGCATCCAGGCTCATCTTCATCCCAATCGGGACATGCGGTCCGGCACTGCGGCGGACCCACAAACAAACGTCCGCATTGGGGATGAGGCACTGCAGAGTCGAGCTCGGGATCAGGCCTGTTGTCTCCCTCCTTCCCGTGGTCTTTAATTAACACAAGCTGCTCGCACTTATAAGCTGGGCGATGCCCAAGCCCTTTGACAGGCCCTCACGCTTCGTTTACATCGCTCGCCGCCTATCGATCTCCCTCCCCACTCTACCTGCAGTGTGAAGTCTGCTCGCGACTCGTCTAATCGCGCCCACCCTCGTTTGATACGACTCATCTTCCAATGCAATTCACCTTGAAGCTCGCATTTGTATATCTCCTGGCCGGTGTTCTCGGTGAGCTCTGATCGTTCCAGATGTGAGTATATTATAGCTGATCGCTTGTCCAGCGAACACGGTGTGCGCTGCGCCGGTCAATGTGGCGGCCCGTACTATCGACGATGTTGATGCAACGGTGGGTGTCCGGTCGAGGTTTTCATTGCTCTCGTCGCTCATCTTGTGCACAGCATGCGTCTCCGGAGGTCGAAGAACGTGGCTGCCGCTTGCGTTACTGCATCTGAGGATGGGGATCAGAACATCAATCATGCTCCTTTCCTCCTATGCAGCTAGCTGGCTATGCGCCAGCAACTTCAATGTCTCTCTTCATGTTGCCCCCCACTCCTCATCCCACTAGTGCCACATTTCCCTGCCCCCACTCCCCAACATTTATCCGGAATCAGCTTCCCCGGAGTTCATTGTATCGCTAGCGTCTCCGATCTCCCATAAGACCCTCCTTGCAAGGGGGGCCAATCTTTTACTGCACCGCTGCTGCTGCCGTCTTCATTACCCGTTACTTAGCTTCTTTACTTCCTGAGTATCACGGATACATTGGGTCGCTCGAAGCGAACTGTTTCTCTGCAATTTACTCATCTCGTATTCCAGTTCTCAGTCCGCAGAATTATCAGCGCAGAACGTAAATCTGATCTAATGGCGATAGTGACTGCGTATCTGATCTGAAATCGGGGTGCGCGATAAAGGCTGTCTGTATGATATCTTTTTGCTTGCAAGGGCTCATGGCTGGCTCTCAGATGTTGCTACGGACTGCCACAGCCTGCGGTCATGACATATGTGTCAGCATGACGTTGAGGCGGGGCAGCTAGACTTCGGCTCTCAGCCGTGCCCAGGCTAGCCACCCGGGTGATCGTTTACATACGGAGAAACTGTGATGCAACGCTCACCAAGCAATGGATCATCAGGTGCTTATTATCTAAAAGTCGAGGACTAAAAGCCGTGCGGCGCGCAACTTCATACTTGTTGAAATGATGATGAGCTCACCTGGGCACGGCTAGGATGCTCATACGCTGCTAGTGAATGCTCACGCTCGCTCGACAGATTTGGGTACCTCCATTACATTGCCGTCCATCCTGTGACTGACACATCAAGCACGAATCACACCGCTTGCATTGACGAAAGGCCATATAAGGGCACGGGAAAATCTGCCTGCGCATGCCTTCCTTCACTCTCCCCAGTGGAGTCGTCTTCAGCTACACCGACAGCGGGATTCCCACGTCCAATAAGACCGACTATGTTACGCTAGTGCTCATTCACATCAGTAATCAAGGAAATTGATGTAACCTGGCGGGTTTGAACCAGAGTCGACATAATCTCATGCAATATCGCTGGTGCGCAACAAAACCAGCTGTAACCTACAGAACACTCAGCCGGTGATCTGGATGCACTATGGCCTCTGTCCCCTCACTCATACTAGCTGTATCAATCAGAGCCTATAGCTCGCTCCAGAATCTTCAGAACAAGTTTCAACGCAATAGTACAAAATCAATGTGTCTAAGGTAGCAATTAACATAATACATCTTTCCGGTATCCAAAACATCGAGACCGACGTTTCGGGCATGACAAAACGGCTTGCGCCTGCGCAAAACGGCTTTTTTACTGATGGGCGTGGATTTGGCTGGCAGCTGATGCCATCAGGCTTGCAAGCCAATTTGTCGGCTTGTCATGCCCGACAAATCGGCTTGTCTCCCCTAGTTTCAAGCGCAATCAGAGTCTGTCTACGGTGTTTATGAGCTATATTTTGTACTCTACGCTAGATAGGGCTCATGTACATGCTGATCGACAGCGCCAAAGACAGCCTGATCATATTTTACCTGTAGATATACCGCCAAGCACTCTTTTCTCGACCTGTGCAGCAGACAGAGGCTCAAACACGTCACGGACTACCGGGCTTTTGTGCAAAAGTGCATGGAGCTGGTCGGCGCCCATGAGATGCAACAGGGCGCTTGCAATTTGGATTAGATTTGAAGTTAGTGCCCTATGAGTGAAGTCTTCCGCGACAAAGAACTGTACAACACAATCATTCCCACAACGCTCTGAGCTCAGGAATGCCCCAAAACTTCGTAATATGTGAGTGGCACAGCCGGTATGTTCGGAAGGCGTGCTCAGGTCCATCTTGTCCAATCCTGCTTCGATCGACGCGCCCCAGAACTCCACAGGCGGTGAAAGAGGTCGGTGGCATTTTCGATCGCGCCTCGGAACTCTTCAGGCTCTGTCGCGGGTGCTAGCCCTTGATTGGTTTTGACTAACCCCGGAACTCCACGGGTTGTACAAAAGGTGGGTGGCATTTTTGGACGCGCCTCGGAACTCCTGAGGCTCTGCCGTGGGTGCTAATCCATTCGTAGGGGACATCAGAGTAAGTGACACTGAAGCTCAGTGTGTTTCCGAAGTCCGGGGAAACGAAGGTGAACCCCCTTCCTATTTATGCTGTTTTCCGTGTATGGCATTGATTGTTGCCAGCACAATGTGTTGTCAAAGCCTCGTGTAATCAACGCATTGTCTCGCTTACGCCTTGAGCCTCAAAATACCAATTAACTACGGCATCTCTTCGATGTGACATTATGCGTCGAAAGATCCGTGGCGATCACAAATTCCTGTCGCGATCACGTGCCAACCCTCGCTGAGTACAGTAAGTAATCACAAATGGATACACTTGCACAAGGCTATGGTGCGTTGTTCTGAAACAAACAAAAGCTGTCTTACATCAAATACAAGCCCGAATGCCTGAGATATTGTGGCAGAAATGCCCAATTGATGCACAAGCCATTTTGCCATCAGATAAATCGGCTTGTGATGGCAAACAGACTTGCCTCTACGAAACAGGCTTTTCTACGCTTAATATCATACAGCCAACTGAACAAATTGGCGTGTGTGGGCGTGCTCAATCAATGGGACCTACCTCAATGTGTAGGGAAGCTCCGGGCAGGAATGTGGGCGGCGCATGATCTCCGTTGTCAATCAAATGTGGCGATGCTAAATTTTCTTCTGAGAACCATGATTAACGCAATCAAGCGCTTCTTTGGATGGCAGTCGAGCGTGCCTCCGCCGCCTCCGCAAAATCAACACCAGCCTCAAGGATCATTCTACCCACCATTTCTCTATCCCCCGGGCTATCCTGGATACAATCCGTGGGCTCCGCCTTTCTGTACGTACTCAAATTTTGTGCTTGGACTTATTTAGTGAAGATTCTTCCAGCATTTCCTCCCAACGGAGTCGGATTGACACCGTTTCATCCTACGGGAGTAGCAGGATCTACACAATCAGACATGGGGTCCTCGGGTAACGCAGCAGGTCCATTTGCGCGTATGTAAGGCAGCCACATCAATACACATTTCCTCACAGTTCTGTAGAACCAATGGCTCCGTGGGCAATGTACCCACCGATGCCATACGGATATCAGCCTTTTCCCTTTGTACCCCCGGCCCCTTTCACCCCACAATCGATCCAAGCTCCGACTCCAGCTCAAATTGAAGCCTTGCCAGATAACTACGGCCCTGCTTCTGGCACTCCGTCTGGTCGCTGGCCTGATGGCAATGGCTTGATCGACTGCCTGTCTACGGAACTGCCTGACGATTGGGATGATCAGGGCTGGTCGTGGCGCTCATCTGGCGCACGCAAAAAGGACCTTCCTACAGACGCATACAGAATCAACAAAAACAATTGTCTCGGCGTCTTTCGTTGCCAATGCAAAGACTCCAAGGGCAATTTCTCGCGATTTGTTTGTCCGAAGAAGGATAAAGGCCCCCGTGAAGCGCAGCAGAACGATCGCTGTACTCTCTGCCAGGCCAATCTTGTGCTCATTCCCTGCACGGCCACTCTGACAGTTTATCATTACGAAGACGACAATGGGGCCGAGCACGTCGTGAAAAAGCACGACGGCTTTCATGCTCACCCACGTCCACCTGTCCCCCGTCTCACTGCCGCTGAACGCGAGGAGCTGGACGTTCAAGTTCGGTACAATCCGACTCAAACGGCGCAGCAGCTTCGCATCGGCGCCGAACTTGGACAAACTTCAATTGGAGCAATTAATACGGCGCTGTACAACTCTCGGAAAGCTCGGGCCGAGGTCGAAAAGAGTCGCATCCGAAATGGTCTTGCTGTTCCCAGCCGTGCACGTCAGGCAGGGTTTGATCTTGTTGATACAGTGGGCAGCCTAGACGGCATGTTCGAGACAACGTTCATTGTCAAGGCGGAGCTACTCACGGGGCAATACATCGTCATGCAGACACCGTTCATGCGCGACGTTCTGCTCAGGGACCAGATTACATCGTGGAAACATGAGATTTTCGAAGTCGAGACGGGTCGACACGGCCTTCCAACGGATGGGAGCCATGACATGTTCAAACGAGGCGTTTTACTCAGCTCATTGGCCTATTCCCCTGTCCTCTTTCGCTGGTGTTCTGTGCTCTATACGTGGATTGGTCGACTTGACGCAGCTCACCATGCTGAGCATTACAAGCACGTCATGATTTCGGTCGCGGAGGTGTGCTCTCAGGTGCTTCACCAGGAATTTGATCCGCAACTCTTGAGCCAGGTCAGAAACAAGTTCCACGTCTACTTGTGAGAATTTACTTCTAACTTTCTTGCAGGTTGTGGACTTCTCTAAAGCTCAGCGTAACGGGTTTTTGGATGCCTTTGTGACTTTCATGACCTTGCGAAATCCGGGCTGGCATAGTCTCAGCAACGAAGCGCGGGAAGCCGAGAAGGAGACCGTGCGCAAGCAAGGCAAAGCGCTGCTCAAAGGATGTGTTGTCCACTGGAAGCGGTCCGTTCACAAAATTCGACAAGTGATCGGCTCGCGTCACACCTACCGCTTTGATAATCTGATTCGAACACTCAAGGGCTCGCAGACCAGTCCCGAGGAATTCACTCATGCAGTGGACAGCATTCGGTTGGAATTTCCAGAGATACGACCATGGCTCTCGTGGTGGACACAGGACGCCAACGCTTCCATGATCTTTCCTTGCGTTTCAAAAATGCCCGCAGAGCTCAGAGCCCGAATTCCCGACTCAACAAACGCTGTCGAATCGTCGCACTGGGCTCTCTATCGTGGTGCAGGAACAAAACACGATCTTCTGGAGGGTATACGCCGTGTTTATGTGTATCAGCGGGAAACAGAGAAGCTGTACGAGGCTGTTCTTGGTACGCAAATATTCGATGATCATGTGCAAGACTCATCGTCTGCCAGCGGGTCATGTAGATCCCAAGTTTGCAGGTGCACGTCCTGAGCGCATCTCACACATTGATTGGCACGAGAATGATGGTCGTGCTCCAGATACTCGGGCGCGTCTGGAGATGGTCGAGACGCTCGAGGCTGAGGCTGCAGCAAAATACGCGAAAATGACAACGGAACAGCGTTTTGAAGCCTCAAACTCAAGCCCTGCCTCTGCGGTGCAGAAGATTCAGATTCTGCAAGCGCCTCAGGGACCCTCGGAGCTTGATCTGCAGTCCTACGAATGGGATCGAAATTCGTGCTTCCAGGATGCATCTCTCGAAGCACTGTTTCGCGCATTTCGCTTGCTGAGCAACGATGATCGTCAGAGCTTCATGAAGCTTCTCTTCACCGAGGCTCCAGATTCCAGTCTATACGACATCTTTGACCATTTCCGAACTCGGGGAATAGCATCAGGATTTTTCAAAACCTTCGCTGGCGAATTAAAGCCAGATCTGCATCATCTAAAAGCTGCTCTATACTTTGGACAATCGCGTGCCAAACGCTGGCTTCAGAAATTATGGGATGGTGCCCCCGATGCGGATGGATCCCTTGGCTGCTCACGTACCTGGGTGAATCAGATGGTTCGGGTTAGTCTTTGCTCTAGTTTGATCCAATTACAAGTGCTGATTTATTCAAACAGATTGCCACGACGTTCAACATTCAGTCGTATTTTGGGGTTTCCTACGAGCTCGAATTTACCTGTGACGCAGCGAACAAGAGCCACGAACGAACGGTTTTCATCCAACCCATGCTCGAATTAGTCTTGCGAAAAGACGACATCGTAATTGGAACGCGCTCCTGGTCAGGCTCCGGCTCACCATCCTTGTCGCATCACATTTCACGGATGACACTCTACGATCCTCTGAAACCTAGCGATCCACTTCACAATTCGGCAACACAGAGATGCAGCGTTCAGAATCACTGCAAGGCAGCGCCAACCTCAATCACATCTGTATTCCCACTGTTTCTCCGGGTTGTTCTTGATCCACTCGTTCAAACTTCGCAGAATGGGAGCTTCGATTGGAGAGGAGTTCACTGCATGATGCCAAATTTCGACCGGACGCTTCACATCGGGTCAATTTCGTACGAACTGGCTGCTGTTGTCAGATACGAGGAGGGCGAGGTTGGACACTTCACAACATCAACTGTTATTGGTCCGACTGCCTTTGTCTATGACGATACAAAACAGAAGGGTCTCCTTCAGGCTGTCGGACCTGCTTCGGAGATTGAACGATATGATCCTCGTGCGGTCTATCTCATGTATACTCGAACCAGCGCAGAATCGGTGCCGTTTCACATTCAATCTCGCTTGCGTAATTATTCACTCATTTTTGCAGAGATACAAACGCTCATGTGCCGAAATTGCCGCCGATTTTAATCTGCGTCCATCTGTGGATACTGGCGAGAATCCCGCGTCTCTCATTGACCGTACCCCATCTCGTGGCGTCGAAGAAATGCCTGAGTGGTTTCATGAAGAGCACAGCAACAACGGCTGGGATTCGTGCTCTGAGGCTGATCTCAACTACCTCTTGAACAACCCAGATTCCGATTTTGCTCCTCAAACCTGCACGGCATCTGACGGCGACGTCGACGAGATGATCCTTGCCACTCTGGATAAAGAGTCGCATCGTCAGAACCGCCCGATCTTCACTCCAGAGATGGATCTTCCGCCAATTACAGCTTTTCGTTCAAGTCGAGATGAAGTGGCAGACTCAGTGTTGGAGGGAAGCATCTATCTTCCACCTCGGGGCTCTCCAGCAAACTCCGATGGTCCGCTACACCTCCGATGTGACGGATGCAAGGAGGAGGTGGACGATGCAGATGAATCTACACGGGCAGGTACAGCCGTAACGGAGTGCGAACATTGTCGAAGGTGGTCGCATATTGAATGCCTTGATCCCACTGTTGACTGGGAATCCGATGATACGCACTTCATTTGCACTCACTGCCAGTATCCACCAATCGGAACGATTATCCCGGCCCCCTTCCCCGATCCCACAGATCCTCTGATTCCCGACTCGAAGTTCTATCCTGCTGTGATCCTCAAGCGCTGCGTAGATCGGAAGTGGGAGGATGATGAGTACGAACTTCGGTGGTCTGTTTTTGTCTCGGATCCGCTCGCTGATGGTTCCGAATTCCCACATAAACTGCCAAACTTCAGATTATCGCGCATCAGGCTCATGCAATACGAGACATTAAAAGCTCAAGCAAATGTACCTGGCCACAAGGTGAGTGCAGTTATAGATACACTGAGCGGTTGACTCACAATTCAAAGATTGGAGAGCTCAGACTCCCTATCTCCATGTGCAAAACCCCCGGCATTCACGAGGGATCGTTCCTGAGCAGAGAGCTCGAAAAGAGCATCCCTGCGATCGTCGATGTTCTCATTGCCTGGAACGGGGCAGAGCACGTGGTGATCAGGAGCTGGCAGGAATATGCAGCGGCTCAGCGTCGTAAGAAAAAGAAGGTTGAAATGAGCAAATGGGCTGATAGGTTTTTCTTCTGGATGACGGGCGAGCTGCTACAGATCTTCCCCGGTCTCGCAGAGAAGTTATTCAAAGCCGAGGGGCTTTCGGCTTTAACTGCAGCGCAACGACACGAGCGGGTGTACATCGGAGGGATCCTGTTTCATTTTCTCTTCATTCAGAGAGAGTTGAAGGAGCCGATGGATGTCGGAGGCACTACGTTCGAGGACTTTCTCAACGGCCACATTGTCCCAGGTCATCACATCGAGGAGGCAGCGGCTGTTATCAAGGTCATGCGCGAGATCCAGATGAAAGGCGAGGACGAAACGATGGACGATCACGAGAAACGCTTCTTCACGGAGCACTGCGGCTACGACCCCCACATCCATATCCCGGTCTACCGCCGCATTGGAGGCAAGGCGCCAAAGTACGCACTGATTCCGGCCAAGGGAAGACAGCGGCACAAGCGCAACCTGGAAGAAATAATCTCCGATGGTGAGCGCGAGCAAAGCGCAAAGAAAGCGCGGGGACAGTCCAGGGCAAAGGGGCGCCGAGGCAAAGCGAAGAGGCGGTGAGCTACCACTGAGCACGGGCTACTCAGGCTCGATGGTGCTGACAACGGAGTTGTCCGAAGTAGAATTAAGCTGATTTCTACATTTAAAATGAAAGATGATGTACTCCGACCATGAAATTGCACGTCCGACGTGAGCGCGGGGCCGACGCGACAAGCAGCGACGAAATCATTGATCAGATTCACGCACAAGCTACGCCCACGCCCCCATCACACAAGCCAAGCCCGGCCCGCTAATTTCAAACTCCGACATGGGGTACAAGCCCGGTTGACAAGCCGGTATAATAAGTCTCCCAAAACATCTAGATCCGTCAAAGTTTTGTCTGCATTGCATCCAAAATATGGTATCAAATGACAGCTGCGTTCGATCCAGGTCACTGGGATGATCGAAGCACTGCGCACATTGGCTCGTGTGGACGGTGAAACCTTGTACATCCCGAGTTCCTTATCCATGCGCGTAAGCGGTGTGAACCACTCAACATATGCTAGAGGTGTGGAATACAGCGCGTATTCGATTGGAAGAGCAAAAATAACGCGGACTCGTGCGGGATGCAGGGCTACGGATTGAATGTGAGAACGATCGAGTACGGACAAAACATCAGTCAAGTTAAGACACTCACCAGCAAGATCTGACGAGCCCTCCTGGCGCTGTTGGGCGGATTCGGCGCTCTTGTGCGCTAGGCAAGTGTCAAAATGAGCTGGAGTGTGACATTTCAGACCATCAGCGACATGGGCCGGAGCGGCGCGAATAGGATCTTTGGTGAAATTGGATGAGACTTGCGGGACAGGAGGGATATTGATCACGACTCGTTTGTAGACAGAGAAAGTTGCAGAGATGTCCGTGAAGTTGTCGAGGGGGAGGAGGTCGTGCTTTAATAGGAATTCCTGGAGATACCAGAGGAAGTCCCGTGCACGATACACTGTCTCCAGGGTGACAACGGAAACATTGGTCACTGGGGCACGCTTTGCGATGGTGTATGCTGGCAGTGGCTGTCGGGCTCCTGATACATGTGAAACCCCAGCATTGCCGCTGTCCTTGTTGTTGTTCTCAGGCCCGGTAAGGTCGTCATCGTCATCCGAATTTGCGGCGCTGAAATCATTATCAGCAGCGTGATCTGGAACAGCCCATCGAAGATAGGCACTGAAGTGTTGAATGGCTTCTCTTCGGGTGAGCCAACGTGTCATCTGTCGAATGTATGCATTCTTATTGGATGCGTTATATCCCATCTTTGCATAATCAATGTGAAGACGCTCAGATAATTCAGTATTGAATCCATCGGCAGTGCCTTTTGACAAGATCTGATCGACGTAGTGCTTCATCGAGTGAATCTTCGGTATATTGAAATGTGCACGAGTCCCATTACGCACGAAGACGATCTTGTTGTCATGGAAGCGACGCCAGGAGGACTCGAGCTTGGCCAGGGACGATGTTGTGTGGCTCTCGAAATGCGCATAGTAGATGAAGTCCAGGACACTGCGGACCACGTGAATTACTTGAGGCTCTACCGTGCCATTCAGAGCACCCAGAAAGACCTTCTCCATCTGCTTGTACTCATTCCCAGTCCACTGCGAAACAAGCGAGATCCCGGTTTTAAAGTGACGCAGGCTCGGATGACTGGGCATCACACGGAAGCGGATATCGATCTCAAGCTCCTTCTCTTTCTGAGTCATTGATTCGTCAAGCGAGGAGGTCGCCCATGCAACAATGTGATCTTTGAAGACACCTTTGTGCAGCTGATGGAGAAGGTCGGGCGTGAAGCATTGGAAGATGTCGCAATGTGGTAAGTCCTTCCAAAAGGGGTCAACGAGGCGAAGTCCCTGGGTTTCGAACTGCTTTGGTGCGCGTCCATCGGCTTGCCTCTGCATGAGCTTGATGGTTTCCGTGACGTCTCGTAGGACTGTCGCCACAGGATCTCCACGCTTGTCTGCCTCAACAAGACACTGGGGGCACCGATTCTCCTTGCAGCATGAGACCAAGCACTGCTCGGGATGATCGGCAACATACGCCGCTAGTATCGGGAAGACGAGGCGCATAGCTCCATCCGCAGCCCTCATCTTAACCCCATCCGTTCCGGCTTCGACTAACGGTGCCAGCAAGGTGCGCATGCACTGGTGAAAGAACTGGTGGCCAGCCTGCGACCGCATGTCTTTTGAAAAGCAGTGCATCTTGCTCACGGGGATATATCCGATGAGAACGGTCGCATGTGCTGAGACTTTCCGCCGTAACGTTTTGGGGAGATTGCCGATGGTGAGGTACACCGGCCATGCTTGCTTATCACCGCTAAATCGAGACAGCTGGGTCTTGTCCGATGCAAGGATCACCGGGGCAATGGTAGCGCCGTCGGGCAGAAGTCCCTGGCATATGGGTCAGATTCATTTAAGCCGAATGTCCAGTGCGTCACTTGCCTGCATTGTCCACCACCAGTCCCCGGTCCACATCTCATCCACCTCACGCTCTTTGCCCTCACTGTCCTGATAAACTCTCTGGGGAATGTAATGCATTTCCGCCTCGAATGCTGGATTCCCGAACAGCTCACGGATACATTCCAACGGATCGCGCCGCCAGAACTCAACGCTCTCCTTCATTCGCTCGCCTCTGACATCGTTCAGGTCCCCTACAATCTCGAGCATCTCGCAGATCCATTCAGGACCAGTCGGCAATGAATCAATCTTCTGATAGAGTGTACGTGCGTTGTTATATGATGTCTTCCCCTCATTGCTGATCTGACCGTACAGCGCTGTAAATTTGCAGATTTATCCATGAGCGCGGTATGTGCGTACCTTCTCGAGCTTCAAAAATGTGTCCAGGCTCTTTTGACTGACCCCACTTGTCACCAGCCACTGTGCGAGTTCCCAATCCGCTCGACTCTCGAATGGTGCCCATGCCATCTTTCCCTCTTGCACTTGTTGCTGCCGGAGCGTGTCGAATGCAGATTTGGCCACATTACAGTCCTCCACAATTGAGCCGGCTGGGCCCTCGTAGTCCTCAAAGTAATGGTCGTTATTTGCGTCTTCGACAGCCGCTGCCGAGTGTGCGCCGTCTCTGGGAGGAGGTGCCTCGTTCCCAAGCATTGGGTCGTCTGGGTTATCTTCGGCGATGGGATTCGCAGTTGCTGCCGGTGAGATAGATCCACTTGAGTCCGCTGTGAAGTATTCGTCGTCTTCCGTGGTGGCTGCTTGTCTGCTGATGGTCTCCTGCAGCTTTTGTTTGCATGCTGGGCGCTGTGCAATGTGTGATGCAAGGCCTCGGGTGGTACGGACTGCAAAATTGCAGAATCGGCAGCGGAGAGACTTGCCACCAAGCATTGACTGTTTTGAAGGTCCGTGCGTCCGTGACTACATGGTCACATGCTTACGCTACGGCTTTTTTCTTTACCATCTTCACCATGGCTCGTTCACAGACACTCCCATCTGACGTTGACGTGGACTCGGACGTAGACGTTGAGTCAGGAGATGACAATGACTCCCAACAGGAACTTGACGTTGAGGAGAATGATCCTCCCCCGCCTCCTCCTTCTCAGAAACAAAGACGGTCTTCGCAGATCAAGACAATTCCCGCTGTAGTCCGCCCAACCCGTCAAGGGCAGCCGAGCTCAAAGGCAAGAGAGAATCGTAAGTGTGACATCTTTACAGAGACTGTGCCTGCTGACTGCATATATCAGAACGGGCTATTCGTGACCAGCAAGCACGGGAGATTGCTGAGCTTAAGCGCCTACTCAGCAAGCAGAAGAAACGGAATACCAAAGTCTCAGGTGCGTTTCTGTGTCATTCTCATTTCTGCCGCTGCTCGCCGCTCATCCTGCCCTTACAGAGAAACTCGCTGAATATGGGGCCACTCGTGATCTTCCTGAGAGCGAGAAGGAGGATGAACAACCTGTAGAGATGTCCTCATTGACATCGAATGTACATGTTTTTCTCATCCGTACGCATCTCCCTCTGACTTTGAATGACCAGTTCCGGTCGAAAGGCATCGTGGGTGGGACCGGGATGATTCCCTTGCCGAAGAGATTGCGCAAGGCTGGGACGCAGCCGCACACGCCTGCCACATCAGGTTCAGGTACACCATCTGTTCTTACCATGGAGGAGATGCGCTTAGAGGACCCAGTGACTCCATCTCAGTCCTTCGGCACCGGTCAAAGTCAAAGCGTACAGAGATCTGGTTTGCGCCCCATTGTTCTCTATTCTATCTTCTGAACACCTTGACAGATGACGAAAACGACACAACGAGTGCTCTTGGAGACCCATTTTGCACCTCTTCGCCCTCGTTTGCTGTGTCTGTGCCGGCTCGCCGACGTGGCACACCTTTAGACAGTGGTGCCTTGCCCAAGAAGCAGAAGACCCTGCCAACATCAACGCTTCCCCAGCTCAAGTTCCCGGAATACGTTGACGGCTCCTCACCTGATCGCAGCCGCACCAATGCCAGCGACTTCACCGGTACCGCCAAGTCCATGCTGATCACATGTCGACACATGTATGAGGTGTACATTTGGACAATCTGCGGCTTCCCTACCCTCGAAGATTCAATTGCTAACGCAAGGCGCATTTGGGAGGCTGAGAACGAGAACCGCGGGGAGAGTTACATGTTTGTCGAACGCATCAAGGCTGCTGTACGTCCTCTGTGTTCCTCATCCTCACCATGCTGATGAACTATCGGGTTTTGTATTGCAGATGGTGTCATATGACACACATGCACGCAGTACTATGCACGCTGCTATTCGACCACTTGTCCGTGCCTTCTATGATCTTCATACCGGACAAGACGACAAGACTGTGAAGCGCAATCAGAAGCGCATTCAGAGGCTGCTGAAGGACGGCGCCTTTCATCACCAGGTGTGTAGGTGTTGGTTTTGTTGCTGTAATATTTCACCTCTTGTCAGAACTGGAAGACGTGTGATCACTTTGGATGCAGTGCGTTCGTGTATGATGCACTGGAGGCTTGTTTCTTTGGAAGTAAGAAGGCTCGTGGCATCCAGTACGGCAGACACTTCAGCCCTATCAGCCTCCCAACATTGGCGCTGACGTTCACCATTGTTTGAATCACCATTGTAATATCTGCGAGTGGTGGCTGATAACTTCTCTAGATCGAGTTTTGTCTTCGTGACTGGGAGACCGGTGTTTACATTAGAATCATCTTCGACGAGTCTTCAGCTGAGGTGTGGTACAAGCGCCATCTCCTTTCCTTGGAGGAGTGGGACAAGTTCCGGCCAGCAGCCAGCCTGAAGGTTCGGCAAGATCTGCATGACGCGCTTCGGTATGTTTGACTGTCTTACATTTCATCCTACTTATTAATATGCCCGCTTTAGCATTGCCGCTGGTGCAACCATAATTGAAGTTGATGGCTCCTTGTCAGCTGAGGCTCGGGAACGCTCACAGCGTGACCTCGACACTATCGACTTGGACGCACCGTCAACTTTCTGGGGCAAGCAATCTAACAGGACCGCGTCCCACCCTTCCTCTGCTGTCACCGAGTCCGATTCTGAATAGATAACATATGTGGTTGCTCAGTAGAATCTTCAATGCCATTGTCGTGCTCCTTCCATTTGCATTGTACTGTGTGACGGTATATCTAGTGTAGTCATTGTCATCTCATAAGCTTGGATTTGTAGGGAGGTAGATGCACATCAGTAAAACAGCACAATTGTCTTTCACATCTTTGGGATCTTTATCAAGACGTCAAAGACACCAAAGTCATTTTTTTCTCAAAGACGTACGTCTTTCGCTAAGTAGGGTGAGAATCTTATGAAGGATGGTTTTGTCTTGGCCAAGACCGCAAAGATGTCACGTCTTACATAGCTTATCATTGATCTCAATGAAAGATGTCGCTCCAAATAGATAGCTCGATCTCAGTGATATATATTGAATATGATTTGGTTTGGCATGAAGTAAGGCACCGAAATACAGGGCTAGTCAGATACCACCATTATGTACTCGCTATCCGAAACATTGTCATCACCACTGGCCTCGGAAGCGCCGCGGCTAGAAGATGCACGCTTCCGGCTTGGAGCCTCCACCCACTGCGCTGCGGCTGCCTTGTACTCATCCCACTTTGTCTCATCCCACTTCTGTAGAGCCGCCATGAATTCTGTTGCTCGGCGAACCAGTTTGCGTTTCTTGCCATTCTCAGCGGGTGGCGAGTAATCAGCCCAGTTGTCAGCTGAGAAGTACGCGGCGCGGGGCATGGGCTGCAGCAAATCACATGTGCCTGTCTTCCAGAATTGCAATGCACGATGAACCTGAGAAGCAATAAGACTGGGATCGGATGAGTAGAAACACATACCGCCTGCATTGACATGATAAGAGCGCCAATTGGGGGCTCATCGAGTCGTTGGTAGGCCCCGGGGATGGTATCCAAGCATGTGAGATGGTATGCAAATGCGTGAAGGATCAGATCCGACTGCAGAAAACCCTGCATGGATTCAGCACCATCCAGCGAGGAGAGAACATGGTCGACGTACCTTCTTTTCTACCCCTCCACCCCACTGCTTCCACTGAAATGCCATGGTGCCACTTTCGTGACGTTTGAGCACCCAGGACACAAATTCCGCGATTCCGCTTGGTGTCTTGAGATTGAATTTGGGTGCAGCCGCAGCGGTGCCTGCAAGGGAAGCGTCGAGACCTTCAGTGTCCGCAGGTGCTGGCGCGTCAGTATCTTGCCAGAGATTTCAGTACTTATGACAAAGAGGATACGGCAGGACAATCATGACTCACCGTCGACTTGCATCTCCGAGTCGTCGTCAGAGTCTGCACCACTCTTGTTGTTGTTGAAATACATGTCCACTCCACGCCGTGCTTGAGTTCCGAAGCCAGTGCGCCAGTCATTCAAGCGGTACGCAATCTGGGTGCATGAGAAGAAAGTACAGCAGGTCAAGTCACTCACCAAACCAGCCCATGGACCATTCTTCGCAACTGTGTACTGGCCCTTGCCATACACCTTGTCAACGATCTCCTGCAGCTGTTTCTCGGTGAGACCTTCCCATGGTGGAAGCGTGCCAGCCTTCTCGCGTGCCAGAGGGACGACTTCGTTAGTGAATTCTTCATCAGTGCCCTCTGGGAGATTTCGGAGGGTCCACTTGGCGGTACCACCGCGAACAGCCTTCTTTGTCTCTGGCTTCGAAACCACGGTCTTGATGAGGACAGGAGCCTGAGTGAAAGAGGCAGAGAGTAGGTCGTCGCCAGCGCACAAGTCACAGCCACGACTTACCTCATTCGGAAGTCCCTTCTTCTTGCTTGGTCTCTCCACCCGCTCTTGCTCATCGTCGTCGAGGGCTGGCCCGCCCAACTGGAACATCGATTCGTCCTCTACAGCTGGGGTCTTAATCTTCTTGGACTTGGACACGTCATGATCAAGACCGCTCTTCTTGTTGTCCTTTTTGGCCTTCTTGCTCGATTTCCTCTGGCTACTAGAATGAATAAATAAGAATGTTATAGCAGGATCAATATGAGACGAACTTATCTGCCGCTTTGCGCTTGGTCGAGCGATCGATAATTGGCGTGCCTGTCGAATCCTTTGTTGTACGAGAGGCAGTGATGTCGGCGCGTGTGAGTTTCTTCTTCTTTTTGTTCTTGCGGTTCTTCTTGCCATTTTCTTCGTCGCTGTCCTCGGCCTCTGAGTCTGTGCTGTTGGATTCGGACTCAGTGTCATCGTGCAGAGGCTCAAACTTGTCAGAATCGTCAGAGTCTGACGACTCTGACGGCTCGGGATCTGATAAAGCACGGAGTCAGGCCAAAACCACACTAAAAGACGTGGAAAGCATTACTAAGTGTAGGCTTCCATGAGTTTGCAGGGGGATGGTTAGCCGTAGCTGCGTGCTCAACATCGTTTTGGCGATTCAAGTCTTCCATTGCAGCTAACTCTTTTGCGGCTCGATTCTGCTGACGTTCTTCCCGTGCCCTGGATGCAGCCTCTGCCTTGCGTGCCTTTTTGACTTCTTCTGAAGAGCGGCGAAATGGTGGATCAGAAGGACCTCGAACAAGGCCAGCTTTGACAGCAGGGTGAGTATCCCTGTTCTTGATGCGCGTTCGACCAAGAGCAGGCATCTCCATGGTAGGAGAGGAGAGAGAGATGGTATGGGCTGGAAAAATGTGCGCTGGCGTGGTGGCTTCACTCAGGGGCTGGTTTCCAGGGACCATGATCGTGAAAAACCTCCGAATTTGCAAAAGTTATGTGGAGAGGCCCGGGCCACCGCTCTCTCTTGCTCTCAATGCTCAAGGCAAGGACATTCAAGCCTCGCAATCTCCCCTGCCCAATCCCAGGATGCGGCAAATTCTTCCTCAACAAGTCGGGCGTTAGCAATCATGTCAATGCGAAGCATCCACAATTCCACCCACGGACGCCGTCTCCAGATTCTGATGGTGAGCACAGCTCGCTGGAAGGTCGCAATCCAAGGCCTTCAGTCTCTCCGGGTCCTCCATCGCCCATTCGTCCGCCCCGGCGTTTGAAACATCTCCATCCGATTTTGAATGGCCGGTTTTTCTATAATTAATTTTGTACACCCTTTCTGACGGAAATTTAGGTCAGCCGTGTGATCGCTATGGCAATTTCCTACTCCCAAACACGCCTCAGGCTCCTCCTCCTCGCGACCATCCTTCTGCTGATGACTTCGCACCATATGCAAACCAGCACGACTTTGTGCTTGCTGATTTGTTGTATCGGCGAATTCAGATGTCTGCAGGAGAAATTGACGAACTTATGCAGAATTGGGCGGCACGTCCTGGAGCAAGAGATCCGCCTTTTGTTGACCACAAAGATCTCTACAATACTATCGACGCCACGGAGCTCGAGCATGTACCGTGGCAATCGTTCTCTGTACAATACAATCGACCGATTGTGCCTGGTGATACAACTCCGTGGAAGTCACAGGAATACATCATCCACTTCCGGGATCCTCGTCTAGTTCTTCGTAACCAGCTGGCCAATCCGGATTTCAAGGGGGAAATGGACTTCACTCCCAAAAGGGTGTTCGGTGAGGGAGATAGTCGAGAATATGAAGATTTCATGTCAGGGAATTGGGCATGGCGGCAAGCGGTGCGTCCTCATCTACTTTCTTCCCCTTGTAATTCATGTATACTCAAATAGTATCTAGGATATCATTGCCGACGATCCAGCAACGCATGGCTCGACTTTTGTTCCTGTCATTCTTGGTAGTGACAAAACTACGGTTTCGGTCGCGACTGGTCAGAATGAATACTACCCCCTTTACTTGTCCAATGGACTTGTCCACAACGGTGTTCGGCGTGCCCACCGCAATGCGGTGACGTTAATTGGATTCCTTGCGATCCCAAAGAGTAGGCCTCAGCATTCTTTGCGTAATACAGCCTGCTAAATTGTGACACACAGCCGATCGAGAGAATCAAGGCTCGGATGAATTCCGCACCTTTCGACGGAATTTGTTCCATGCCTCACTCTCTCATATTCTTCAGTCTCTCAAGCCTGCAATGACAGTTCCCGAAGTGGCGTTCTTTGGCGATGGACATTACCGCCGTGTTGTTTATGGCCTCGGTCCGTACATTGCTGATTATCCTGAGCAAGTGCTCCTTGCTTGCGTTGTCCAAGGCTGGTGTGCTAAGTGACTGCGACCTTCCTTTCCGTGTTGCACACTTACATTTCTTTCTAGGTGTACGGCTTCTAATAAGGATCTTGATGGTCCCGGCGGTCGCCGCTCTCAGGCGCATACTGAGCTTTTATTTCAAGCGCTTGATCACACTGGAATGTGGGATGATTACGGTGTAATACCTGATGTTCTGGTGCGTACATGGTTATCTCGCTTCATCCGTAAGCTCGTTGAGCCGATATGTTATATATAGCCATTTACTTGGGACTTTCCGCGAGCGGATATCCACGAGTTGCTGTCTCCGGATCTCCTTCACCAGGTCATTAAGGGGACGTTCAAAGACCATCTTGTGGCATGGGTCGGCGAATACTTCGAGAGCGAGCATGGCAAGAAGAAGGCCGCCAAAATCATGGCAGACATTGATCGACGGCAAGTTTTGTGTCCGACTCCTCATATGAATGAGGTTTTACATTGATCTCAACCAGAATTGCGGCGGTTCCTCCTTTCCCGGGGCTTCGTCGCTTTCCCGAGGGTCGAGGATTTAAGCAGTGGACAGGAGACGACTCGAAAGCCCTGATGAAAGTGAGTAAGATATGTTCCTCTCTTCGAATCTCATTCAATGTTGCACAGGTCTATCTTCCTGCCATCGAGGGGCATGTCCCACCCCAAATGGTGCGCGCCTTTAGCGCCTTTTTAGATTTCTGCTACCTTGTGCGCCGGAACATCATCAACGAAGCTACATTGGTGGAGATTGACACAGCGCTTGCTCGATATCACACTGAGCGCATTATATTTCTTGAGTCCGATGTCTGTCCAAACGGATTCTGTCTTCCACGTCAACATTCCCTGACACACTACCGCTACCTCATTCAAGAGTTCGGTGCCCCCAATGGACTTTGCTCATCCATCACAGAGTCCAAGCATATCAAAGCTGTCAAGGAGCCATGGCGGCGGTCTAGTCGCTACCAGGCTCTCAGTCAAATGCTCACTATTAACGACCGTCTCGACAAACTCGCCGCGGCTCGTGTCAACTTTGTTGATCGTGGTATGATGGCTGATCCATCCGCCCGTCCCCTTGCTCCCATTCCTTCGGTGCTGGCTGGCCGCCAAGATGACGACGACGATGATGGTGGTCCCAGTGATGACAGGGTGATTCTCGGAGAAGTGGTCTTGGCCAAAACCCACAGTACGCTACCCCAATAAAATCGTCTTTCTATTACTGACCTTCATGTGGCAGTACGCAGCTATCCCCGCAATCCTGATGCGCTGGCACATTTTCTTCATCTCCCACAACTCGTCCCCTTGATCCGCCGATTTCTCTATGCGCAATTACATCCCGATCGAGACCTCGACATTCCCCTCTCCGATATCTCCCTAGACAACTGTCCAGATGCTCCAGATCGCGTTCGAGTCTTTCCGTCTGCTGTGGCGAAATTCTTCGCACCCAGTGATCAATCCGGCATTGCTGGTATGCTCAAGGAGCGCATCCGAGCAGTGCGCTCGTGGAGAGGTGGTCCTCCACGATATGATTGCATCTTTGTGGAAGGGAACCCGGAGCTTCCTGGATTCCGTGGCCTTCTTGCCGCCCGAGTACTCCTTTTTTTCTCGTTCATCCACCGTCGTGTTGTTTATCCCTGTGCCTTGGTCACGTGGTTCTCTGCTATCGGCGATGAGCCATGTCCTGATGTCGGTATGTGGATGGTGGAGCCAGATGTCGACAACAACGGCAAGCGTGTCATGGACATTATTCATGTAGATACGATTCTGCGCGGTGCACATCTTATTGGCATCTCTGGCCATCATCATCTACCTCGACACTTTAAGTATTCGGACTCACTAGATAGATTCAGAGCATTCTACATCAATAAGTACACTGATCATCACGCACATGAAATAGCATTTTAGTATCTTGCTTATTACAAAAAAAATGGTCTTTGCATTCTATCATATCTTGGACATCTTTGGCGTCTTGGGAAGATGTGAAAAATCTATTCTTAAAAAGACTTTTGATGAAAGACGTCAGTCACAAGCTCTAAGACAAAGCCCTTGAAAGACGCATCTTGAAAGACCAAAGAGACAATCGCAAAGACAAAGAGGTCTCAAGATGCTCTTCTCAGGACAAAGATGTCCAAGACGAATGTGGGGTTTTACTGATGCATGTGTAACATCTGAGGCTTGATATGTGTTGCTACATCTTGCTACTGATATGTCAACCCAGGCTACATCCTGTTACAGAACCTTAGCCCAATGCTACAAAGGCTACGAAACATAGGACTTTCCTACAGCACTACACTAGTGACAGAACCTCTAGAGCGCTCTGACATAGTGTCTGTTTTCCCTGATGCATGGGGTCATGTTCAACAACGGTGCGTGTCCTTCCAGCAGTGAGGACTGCACCCAGAGGATGAACTGCGCCCAGGGACGTTCCAGTCTTTGGCAGCACTAGGGCCCTCAAACGGCGTCCGCGTCATTGCCCCGAACCGCCGAGAATACGATGGATCAACTCCGCACCCGGACGTGCTAGAGTTGCTCATGAACGGAAGCGAAGCGGAGAAGGAGGCATTTATTGCGGAGATGGGTCGGGACTTTGCGCTACTGATCGCAGGGCTTGTCGAATCGCTTTCTCTTCCGGGTGGAGTGGCTGTGGCCGGATGGTCGCTGGGATCTCTGGTCCTCATGGCCGTCGTGGCGTCAATGGAAAGCTTACCGGAGGACACGCGCCGGACGCTCAGTAGCTCTGTACGAAGCATCATCCTCTACCGTGAGAGTCTCACACACCACGTCCCCCCATCCCGACAAAGCTGACGGTCTGAAGAGGCCCCCGCCGTTGTGTTTGGGGTCCCGATTCCAGAAGGGATGTCTGTCCCACAGACCGATCCCGAGGTCTCTCCGGCTGGGATGGGACCGTTTTTTGCACGATGGGCAACAAGCTTCTTCCTGCACGGCGACCTCTCGACCCGCGACCTACGAAACCTGACCTACTCCCGGACTGACCCGAATCGACCGCCCACTTTCGATACCATTCCAATGGACGGCATATTAGATTTGACGGCCGGCGCCAAGGCCGACGCGATGGTCGTTTCTCCGAGTTTCGCTGCTGCCACGGCGAAGCTGACTGATAAAGCTCTGTTTGATGCGCACGTACGTGGTCGGCTATGGAAGAATAGCAAGTTCTATCTTGTGACTGGCTCCATGGATAACTGGACCTCAATCTACGCCGGGTGGAAGATTGAGGAGCGGATGCTGGTGGAGGCGAAGCCTGAGTGCGAGATCACCTTTGAGTTGGTGGACGGCGCCAATCATTTCGTACGTTAAAGTTCCGTTCGAGATGGCGCTTCAGGCTGATCGATCGTGGTCACAGTTCTTCATGGAGGAACCGCAGAGGTCCCTCAACTGTTTCAAGCGATGGTTCGGTAACTAGTTTGACTCGGTTTAGTCCTATTGTTGTATAAATGCGCTCCTCCGAGTACTTGGTTTGTCTCACCTTGTACCCTCCGTTTCCAGTCTTTGAAGCAAGAACAATCTCATCTAATAACATGTATCCTAATTCCTCGAGTGACACATTTTATAGCCCTCACTGACAATCCAAGTCTAGGTAAGTTCTGATTTCTGAGCAACACTGGATGACATTTCGTGGATTATCCTTATAATTATAGCACATATATATTTATCCTGATCCCTAGAGTCCTGGACAAAAATCCGCAAACCTACCGCCAGTCTGAATATTCGGAAGAAGTATCCGACGGCGGTGCGTAGGACACTGCCGGTTTCCTGCTGATGTCGGCGATAATTTTCCGAGATACAGCCTTGCCGGTGTTGGAGATGGCGATAAGGACTTCGATCGATAGCCAGTGCCAGAGGCTACAAGACCGGTAGAAGCAACGCTATTGTCGTGCCCTCTATGAAAGACGCTCCGTGCAGAGGCAAATGCAGCTGCGTGTGTCGGGGATGAAGGGCTCGGCGGCGGTCGGGGTGACGTTCGTCTCATGGATAACGATGGTGAGATGGGCTGCACACGAGACGGCAGGGAAGATGTATCAATGACTATTCTTGGTGGAACTCTCTTGCGTGCGGACAATGATGACAGCGCCGCGGCAGACTTTGTCCGAGGGATTGCAGACTAGATCTTGTCTTGGCTGATCGCGAGAGCTGTGGATGACGGATCAGGTGTCTGCTGAGTCGAGGAAGAAAGAGACGGGGTGGATTTACGTTGGGTGAGTGCTGCTGTAGTTTTATTGGGACCAGATGTCGTTAGAGTCAGGGAGTCTTCGGCAGAGGTTTTGCACTGTTAAAGCGGTTAATTGTCAGTAATCAGGCGTGAGATTCGAATCAAACGAACCTGGGACTCGAAACAGCATTGGACATGCTTCCGTTGGCTCCAGTATGAGTTGTAAAAGCAGCCAGCTTGGATGTGGAGCTGGGTTTCCTCGAGGCAGGAGCAGACATCGTCATAGTCGCGGTCGACAAATCAGGGTCGGCGGCGATGCTATAAGTGACGGAACTTGTGGTCACACGCGCAATAGACGTCTTCGCCGACGCGGGCAACGAACTGGGCGGTTTGCCAGGCCTCACGCCAACTGTGGCGGTCGCTCTTGTGCGTACGACCGGCGGTGCGACGGCAGCAGATTCGCCGGCCACACTGGTAAAACGCATGCGCGCTCCAGGGCTCGTCGGAACCGGAGTTATTGGCGAAGGCTGCTAGCTGCTTGATCCTGCACCCACCATCGATAGCGTCCTGGCGCGGGAAATCGAAGTCGTAACTGCAGATTTACGCGGTGCAGATATAGCAGCGGCCGATATCATCCTCCCTCGTAACGTCGCTGTCCCTGTCGGGCTGGATGCACCCATTTTCACAAGCGTTGTCGGTGATTTCAGCTTGGAAATCGAATGGAGCGCTGATGGGGTTTTCAGCGAAACGCTGGATGGATTGGACGCAGTCCGAGCGGGCATTGGTGTCGCATCCCGTCTTAATGCGGTAGACGAAGTCGATTTCGGAAGCGCGACACCTGGTGCCTTCATCGAAGGCGCGCGTGATCGAGATGACGCCGGTGACAACTTCGTGGAAGGTGTTGGGAGCGCTGGGGCGGTTGATCGGCGGGCCTGAGGGAGCTGGCACTTCGGACGGTGCCGATGTTGGGAAGAGGACAGCACTTCGCGTTGTCGTTGAAGGCACGCGCAAACGAGTGGGCGGTGATGCTGGCCTCATGGATGACGAGGTGTCCTGGACGATGTGGAAGCAGCGGAGAAAAGAGCTGGAATAGATCGAGAAGGCTCTGCAGGAAAAGTCGCCGGGATGCATGTTTCTGTGATCTCCGTCTCCACAGCAGCCTTCGCCGAAGTGCGGGTGACCGAAGGTCCAGACGCAGCGGCCTGTGATGAAGAGCTGAGTATGCGACCGAAATGCGACCGGGTTTCCACCTGAGAGGCGCCCATTTTTGACCTCGCATTCACAGTTTTCACATTCGCGTTCGGACTCGCTGGGTCATCCACTTTGAGATTGGGTTTTCTGACTGGCAAGGCTGATCTCCGAGTAGTTTGCGTGCTATTGGTAGTCGGCAAACGAATGATGGGACGCAGAGGTGTTGTATCGCGTCCAAGCATCGCGTCCGTGCTGATATTTTCCGGATGAGTGGTCTCGCACCTTCTTTCGCCTCCAAACAGAAGTACTCACTTCTGATGCGAGCGTTTTTAGCAGACCAGAGGTTACTGCTGAAGAACCTGGAGGTAAAACATCGTGTCGCGGCGCATGGCTTTGGGCCTCGTTTAGTCCAGTTTTCCCATTTGCGATGAAGTAACCACGAAGCGTCAGCAGGAAGCCATGTATATTGTTTTGACGCGAAATGTAGTGTTCCTTTCCTGACCTTCCATGACGGATCGCAATATCACCACCACCAGAGCTCGAAGCAAGGGAGACAAGCTTGTTACCCGTGACGTGATCCCATTGCAGTCAGTCCTCCGAATCATCCCCTGGGAAGCACAATCACCAGACGAAAAGTACATGGGTGATGATTAGAGTAGTGCTAAAGCTGAAGGAGAAAGTAAAGGGATCAGAGAGGTTACTGACTACAACGGGATGTCCTCTGTCTCACCCAGATCGTCATCTACCTCACCCTCAGCCCTCACATCAGATACTGTCTCTTTCTCCACGACCGGCGGCGGCGGAACCTCAATGCTCTCTGGCTCAACGGGCCCATCCGCAGCATCGGAATTCTCAGGGCCAGGACTTGTTGGAGACGTAGGCGGGAATTTGAACTGCATGTTCATCGTCCCGGTCTTGCTTGCCCGCTTCTCCATCAAGGCGAGTCGTTTCGCCTCCAGTTCAGCCACGTCAGTTTCTTCATCCTCCGAGTGAGCTTCTTCGATAGTGACGACCGGCACGGTTGGTGGTGGGGAATTGCTGGCCGACTGTCCTACGAAGGTCGAAGGCTGATCAATGGGCGAGACGCTCGGTGGCATTGACTGTCGCATAGCGGCTACGCTGGCGGGCGAGCGTTGGGAGGGAGATGCGGCAGACATTGACTGTGGGCGCCGAGAGGGTAGCGCGTTAGGCGGTGTTGCTCCCAGTCCAAACTGCGCGATAGGAACCAATCTACGGCCACGATGAGCTTCCTGAACAAGAAGCGCCGACATACGTACCGACGCTCAGAGTGACATGCAAAGATCCAATGCGGCTGGACAATAGGTATGCTCAGCTGCACAGCACGCTGATACTCGACCTCAGGCACGCCAGTCGGTGTATGCGTATTCGGGGTGGTGCATACGAAGTGCGTCGTGTCAATCTCGATCTTCTCGCTCCACCGCGCGTCGATGCGCTCCAGGGCCTCCTTGGCCTGCTCGACAAGCCCTGCATCGTCGACGGTCCCGAAGCATACGCGTACGCCAGAGGTATCGGTCATGGTGTGCGT